TTTTGTGTGATAGGTCCAAAATATCGGTAGATAAAGACGATAATTCGATCATTTTTCAAATAAATTCCGTACTTTTCCCTCCTCCTTTTGAAGAGTTCAATGCAGTTAAATTGCGAACGTGTGTTAATTCACCGTAATAATAACCCGGCAAATAGGATACGATTATGCCTCTCATTTGACAGTCACTGAAAATCAATGTTTTTTTGAAGTGACCTAAGCTTTCGTCTAGAGGGGGGGGGGGGTGGGGGGGTTGTTGTCCAAACGAAATTACTTTCGTCTCCATATGAACATTGATATTTTGACCCCGCCCCTTAGGATAAGGTCTTATGAGATATATGGTCTATTCAAACAGGGTCTTTTGAGATATAATGGTCTTGGGATAGGTTATTTTGTAATATAAGTTGATATAGGTTCTTTTGAGATATAGGGTCGGTTAGGATAAGTTCTATTCAGATGGAGTCTATTGAGATAAAATACCTGTTGATGGTATTAATTACAGAGATAAACTACACCATATCAAGGAAACATATACTCTTGAATGCATAACAAAAAATCTCTGAACTTGAAGTGACAGTCTAATGCACAGGCCATCTACATGTTCTTATTCACAGCATTTTCTGTGAGACTGTGCAGTAGACTGTAATTATTCTCTATTATAACAGGTAGACTGTGTTGAATCAAAGTGATATGAAAGTGAAGGAATAAATTAACATTGGCCAGAAACAGGATGTATGATTATATCAATGACAGAATGAGCAATGATTATACTAATCAATACCAGGTCTTGTATGATTATATCAATGACAGAATGAGCAATGATTATACTAATCAATACCAGGTCTCAACAGTTAATGGTGACCATATGAACTCTATTAACAATTATATTGATTCAACTGAGATGTTGCACATTTACATGTTTTTAAGCCATCTTATCTGGAAGGAAATTGTTGAAGGGAATAATGATAACATTAGTGGAGTTTGAACTTTTGTTAGATTCAACTTCATTGCAGGTTTGGAACAATTTGAGACTTCGCTGAAGTTTTGAAATATGTGAAATCACTTGAAGAAATCTTAGGTATTCAAAAAAGGATTCATTGTCTGTCAGTGAGGCATAAGTTACATTGATTACATTGAATTGTTAGGATTAACAAAGGTCCACATTTTTAGGAATAATTTTATCCTTAAGCGAAATATTGGAATAAAAGAAATAAGTATTTATGATTTCAGATCAGATTAGTATTGATGATAGCTAGGACAGTGGTGAATCATCGATATGATCTAAAAATACAATGTATATACAGTACTTGTTATTATTGGATTTCTTTGGTGTAATGTGAAAGCTGAACCAAAACATGTGCAGGCACGTATTGAATAAAACCAATTGATTGCTTGGTATTAAAATATCAAATATAGAAGAGTTATCATAACAAAAACTGCAAGTGACATTTGTGATGATAATAACAATATCCAGGATTTGGTATTAACAGATTTTTAAGACAAATGTAAGGTATACTGCTCCAGATCTTGAACAGGAAAAAGTTAGCATAATGTCCTTCTTTAACGTATACTTTCTGACAAAGATTAGTGCAATTTTGACTAGCTTTCCAATGGTACAATTGATTTTGATATTTCATTAATTGTTTTCTTCGGCTGGTGTAGGGAAATCTAACCCATCACTTCTGTCTCATGAAAAATTTTGTATTTGGGTTTCTACACACAACAAGTGCACTTCCGGAAAGCAGATGAAGCCTCAAAGCGCGGTAACAACTACACCCCCAATCCGTACTCTAAAATCATGGTACCAAACAGTACATTAAGAGTATGGTACAATTTGAGTATGGCACCGCAATCAATGGCACAGTATGGTACCATATTTCACGGTACCATACAGTACCATAACCAAAGCGATACTGTATAATACCATAACCGAAATGGTACTGTACAATACCATAATCAAAATGGTACTGTACAATACCATAACCAAAACAGTACTGTACAATACCATAACCAAAACGGTACTGTACAATACCATAACCAAAACGGTACTGAACAATACCATAACCAAAATGGTACTATACAATACCATAACTAAAATGGTACTGTACAATACCATAACCAAAATGGTACTATACAATACCATAACCAAAATGGTACTGTACAATACCATAACCAAAATGGTACCGTACAATACCATAACCAAAACGGTACCGTACAGTACCATAACCAAAATGGTACTGTACAATACCATAATCAAAATGGTACTGTACAATATCATAACCAAAACAGTACCGTACAGTACCATAACCAAAACGGTACTATACAATACCATAACCAAAATGGTACTGTACAATACTATAACCAAAACGGTACCGTACAGTACCATAACCAAAACGGTACTGTACAATACCATAACCATAATGGTACTGTACAATACCATAACCAATATGGTACTGTACAATACTGTTGCAGATTGGCTGTGTACCCTTTCCAATAAGTTTGATTTTGGCTCTTTAAAAGAGAGCTCCATCTGTTTTACTCGACTCTGACATTTAGTTTAGATAGATCAGAACATAGGGTGCTGGGAGAATAGTGTTTTAATTAACTGTGACCTTTGCAAGTGTTGAGAGACTTGAAAGTTAATAATAAATAGAGAAGCATAACAAATACCTGTTGAAATGTCAACATCAGAGACAGTGGCTGAATGATACACACTTACGATATAGCATGTGATCCGTTAATTCAAAATTATAATGGAATGAAATGTTAAGATTTTTGAGGATTGTTTCTACTTAGTGACTGGTAATACGAAATTCAAAGTGTTATAATATCAAACCAATATATTCAAGACAAAGAGGAATTTGAATGATTATTATAGCATAACACTGATACTATAACTCAAAGTATTAAACTACTTCAAACTTAACTTTATAAAGAGAGGGAATGGTCACAAAAATGTAAAGGATTAAAAAAGAATTGCATTTAAATTAACTGTGTAATGATTAAAATTTACTATGACATTTACAAGGAGCTATTAATAACATATGAATCATATCCATAAACAATCCAAACAATACAAGTAATATATATCGGATATACATTAAGTCAAGAGGATATCCAATATGTTTAGATAGTGCAACCCTGGGGTTCAGATGATAACATAAGAATTCAACACTCTTAAGATCTGTTGACTAGCTGACCAATCAGCTGTGATCTGTTGGCTGACAGTACAGTGATTGACCAATCAGATGTGTAGGTTTTTTTGTGATACATAAGGCTTCTGATTAGAAAGGCTTCATAGTTCAATGCAAGGATTATTTCTTATTTTAAGAGTCTAGATGAAGCTCCTGTGTGAGACTATTTGAAAAGGGTAATTGTAAGAGATAGTATATGTACTACTACAGTATTACAGCAGACAATAATCTATTTGTGTTATAGGTGGATGATACGAGTTTGAAACTATGTGAATAACATCATATTTGGAAGATATCCAGATCAAAGGCAAAAACATTGGATATAACTGTTCTCTTGTTTTATAAGTATATGTCAAACATTGTCCTTGTGGCGGTTAGAAATGCATACAAACATGAACTGGGCTGTTGGATAGATAACAAATATCATAAACGATTGTATGTGAATATCTGTAGACACTACACGTTGGGAGCAATACTTTGGAAATATATTGATACATCATGCTCAAATCAAACCAGACTCTTTCATCAATGGAGAAAGCATGCTCAAAACTGTGTTTGAAAAGACAGTAATATATATGCTAATAAGATAATATGGACTGTTTACTTAACATATACATGAAGTAAACGTACAGTACAGGAAAAAAGGAGCTAAAATAATTTGGATTATTAAGTGAACGTAGATAAATAATTGGATTATGAAATCAGGAACAGTATAATAATTGGATTATAAGATATGATAATAGACATGCCTGGTGAAATGATGCATGGATCGGGAACTATGACCAGACTGAAGCCTCTCAAACCATGTGTTTGGTGGTATACCCCCTCAGTAAGTATTTCTGTGAAAAACCCCTATTAAAACCTATTGGCATCATACACTATGACCAGGCTGAAGCCTTTCAAGCCATGTGTTTGGTGGTATACCCCCTCAGTAAGTATTTCTGTGAAACACCCATGTTAAAACCAATTGACATCATACACTATGACCAGGCTGAGCCTCTCAAGCCATGTGTTTGGTGGTATACCCCCTCAGTAAGTATTTCTGTGAAACACCTCTGTTAAAGCCTATTGGCATCATACACTTTGTTTTGGAGTCCCCTCTACAAGACATGATTTCATTATCACAATTTCAATTATAGACATAGATATCTTTAGATAACTGTTATTTTGCGAAATCATGTTCATTACTAAATCACAGTAAATGTAAAATGATGAAAAGAGGATGTTGGTTAGACTGTATCATAGGTTGTGCCAGTATTGCAAATAAACAGAGAAATATAAGAGGGGTGTGGGATATCAAAATGCCTTTTATGTTATATAGTAAAACCTTTATAAGTGGACCACAAGAAAGTTTTCTACTTAATAAGGTGTACTACTTGGAGAGTGTCATCAACTAAGTCATTGGTTCACATGATTTGTAAAAACTGTTCTACTCACAAGGTGTACTACTTACAGATATGTTCCACATCTTGACAGTTGTTATATCACCACCAAAAGTGGTGACCTATTGTTAGTCTCCAACGCTTTTGTAGACAGTGTGTGGCATTGGAATTCAGTGTCTGTAACAAATGGCAGGTGGTGATATTTTGCATGTTGTATCAATGTCAAACATGATGGCTATCTGGTGCCAAGCTAATGTTACAGATCTATGAGACACTATACACTATATCAGCAAACTGTAATATATAACGCTTAAATTTAAAGGGTAATGTAGTGCCATCCTTATTTAAAGGTTTGTGTTACAAATCTGAGAAATAACACATCACCTATGAAAATGATATCCTAATGTAGCGCCATCTTTATTTTCAGGTCAATGACACAGATCTAAGAGAAGCTACACACGAACAGGCGGCAACAACATTAAAAAATGCCGGAGACACAGTTGAGATTGTGGCCCAGTATAAGCCGGAGGAATACAACAGGTTCGAGGCGAAGATTTACGATCTTCGGGAACAGATGATGAACACTTCGACAGGGAGTCTGCGAACCACCACAAAGAAAACTCTATATGTCAGGTATGTGTCTGCATGAACAACCCCAAATGTTTTACCCATGACAAGAAAATCATTTGAATTGTAAATAACAAACATTATTTGTAAATTGTTGGAATGCAAAGTGTAGTTAGAAATTCATAATATTTATATTTTTATTTGAGTTTTATATTTTGATGATACACAGTCATTTTGGCACTTAGGTTTATGTTATGGTTATGTTACATGAAGAAACCTTTACTTACAAAGGATCATTATCAGGATTTCAGAAAATTGTGAATCATTCATTGTTACCATGGATATCATGATGTCATAGTTAGAAATAACAATTGACCTCAGAATTCTCGACTTTACAAAAGCCACTTGCAAAGACCCCAAGAGTAGCATAAGCATTTAGACAATTTCATCCAATGATTCTTTGTTAACGTATGCTTTGTTTTATTTCAGGGCTTTATTTGACTATGACCCTACTAAGGACAGCGGTCTACCTAGTAAAGGCCTACAGTTCAAATATGGTGACATCTTACATGTTACAAATGCCTCTGACGATGAATGGTGGCAGGTTCGTAGTATTCCTTAGCTTAGGTTAAGGAGGGGGTAACTGAAAATTTTTGTTTTTTTTGTAAAATCATAGATCTTTGGCTCTGGAATATACAGTAAACTTTTCTTATATGATATGAAGATGGTTGCATCATATCAAAATTATCTTGTGTTCAATGAATGGTGAATACAAATCACTTTTTCTTTGTCTTTCCTATAGTGTAGTGAGCAACCTAGAGTTTTCACATATAGGGGTAACATTTTATGCCCATTATATATTCTCTATATTTCACGCATATCTTATTCTTTGTTATATTTTAGGCACGTATCATCACCACAGATGGGGAGGAAGAGGGAATGGGGATTATTCCAAGTAAAAAACGAGTGGAGAGGAAAGAAAGATCTCGATTGAAAAAAGTTGAATTCAAAGGAAAACAGGGAGAAAAGGTAATGCATCTGTAACAAATGGCAGGTAGTGATAAATAAATAGTTTTTTATGTTACCACCAGAAGTGTCTTCAACTTTTTGTGGATGGTGTTTGGCGGTTGGTGTTCAACATTCAGCATCTGGCGTCTGTAACAAATGGCAGGTAGTGACATTTTGTATGTTATTGCCTTGTATGATTAAGTAAAATGTGCACCAAGGATTTTATTTGTATTATCGCCTTTTAACTGTCATAAAGCAATTTGCTTGGCAATAATAGTCTTAAAACTTGGCCTTCCAGCCTCTGTTTAATTGTCCATTATGGCCTAGTCACATAGCCCGGCTGATGTCCGGCATCGGTAGAGCTCGGTGGATTTTTTTGGTGCCACCGAGCTCTCCTCATCGGAAGCAGAGCTCGGTGACGTGAACAGACTCCGTCCGGACATCTTCAGGCGACCGACCGAACACCGGCCGGTGACCGTACGGAGTCTGTCTCAAAATGGTAGTTTTTTTCTGCCGATGTGGCAGCAACTACCGGCCGGAGGTCGGCCGGACATCGGAAGGAATACAGCCGGTACCCGAGCAGGTAACAGGACACCGTGCGATCGCCGGCCGGGCTGTTAACGGGCTTTGAACAGTGACCGGTCGATGCTCTGTCCCACATCGGCCGGAGCTCGGTCGGAGCTCGGCCGCTGTCCGTTAAAAAACCTCGTCATCTGGTTGTATCAGATGCACGGGACACCGGCCGATACTCGGCCGTGCACTGGCCGACGTGTTTTCCGATGTGGTTACGATGGGGCTGCGATGACATGATGAGGGAGCTCGGTGAGAGCCCGGTGAAATTTAACTCCGAAGTTAAAATTTCACCGAGCTACCACCGATGCGGTTTTAAGCAACAAACGCCACGGATGTCCGGCCGGTGTTCGGCCGAGTTCGGTGAAAATTGCATCGCTGGCTCATCGTAACCTCATCGGCCGGGCTATGTGACTAGGCCATTAGGAACCTTTTGCTCTAAATCACCCAGAAATCATTGAATCCTGGACTTAAATTCCATTTAATTGGCAATGCTGTTATCTAGTCTTACCTTTAGCATCTGTTGTATTAATTCTGTATTTATTTATTTTTGGATTCTTTTGGTGATAATTATTTTATTTTTTTAATTCCATTTGATATTTCTCTAGGCTGGTGATAAAGACAAAGGCAAGAAGAAAAAGAAGAAGTGGTGGTCCAAGGGAAAGGAACCGAAAGAAACAGAAGATGTCAGCGCTGATGAACGTACGTATTTAAACAACCTATCAGATTTAATTCACAAATTCACACCGAATATACCTTTCTGGCAAATCAATTCTTTTTTCTGATACCTGATAAACAGACAAACAGCTAGTTGCATGTTAGATTAATTAAAAAACTGGCTTTAAAAATGTAATTTGTTTTTCAAAATTGGGTTTGTTATGACAGCAGAAATTGTTTAGAATCAATATTTGACATGATTAACAGTGGCGTAGCGTGGTAATTTTGTGAATGTACTCCAAATGAGATTGCGTTTGAAGCCATCTGGGACATTTTTAAATACTAAATTTTGATTAATATGGACCAATAAGATGTAAATTATTGGCCATATTTCAGAATATCCAGTAAAGTGTTAAATATAAAAAGTCAACTTTTCTATAAATTCGAGAGTACGCCATGGCGTTTTATGCTTATATGACACTACAGCATTGATTAACAAGAAGGGTGTATCTAGAGCATCATGGTAAACTGCACAATATTGGAAAAAAATATTTTAAATTAATCACTTGGTGATAGCTTGCATTGTCCACTTGTTTTATATACACCTTCTGACTTAAACACATATCAGTATCTATATAACCATTTTCATTGGTCAATTCCTGTCACATGATCAAATACTGAGTATTATGGGAAGAGTTCCCTTGTGGGCATGTCCTTAATAGGAAGAGTTATCAACAGGAAATTATATGTCTTCTACAGGAAATGACAATTCTGAATTCTGTCTTTCATTATTAAGATATTGCTTCAGACATATATGGTTTAAAATCCAAAAAGAGTAGCAAAGAATGGAATTAGCAAGGAATAAGATAAACAGGCTTGATGTAAACATCCAAAATTGTAAAGTGCCAGAAAATCAGGAGTTCATTTTGAATTTAGAGAATTTTTTCTGCCACTCAGATAATTTGCTAGTGGGTCGATCATTGCAAAAGCTCATTCTTGGTATGTTGAATAATCTAAAAGCGATGGAAATTATTCTAGAAGTTTAATTTAATTCAGTTTAACCTGTTAATGGAATCACCTTTGTAAATTAAAAAATATGTTCTTTGTAAATTATATTCACATTTTCTAACATCATAATCATTAGACACCAACTGTAATCGTACTTTCACCTTAGAAACTTACAAATGGAAATTATAGGATACAATACAATTTAAAACTAACTGTTGGAAATTAAGAGAATGAAAACTATCATAATTTTAGCTGAAATTGAATTTTTCGGTTGATAACGTTTACTATTGCTGATCCCAATCTATAGGTGTTCACCCAACTCGAGAAGTGTTCACCCAACTCAATAGGTGTTCGCACAACTCAATAGTTGTTCACCCAACTCAATAGGTGTTCTCTGTATTCTTCAAATAAAAAAGGTCATTCTGTATAGACTTTATATTTCATTTGATTTGCTTAGACAGCTTTTGTAGGGTGTATAATACTTGATGGCTTTTTTAGGGTGTATACTATTTGTTGTGTACAGTTAAATGTGACATCTTGCATTCACATAACCTTCTGTGACATCACATTCCCACTGTGACATCACATTTTCCACTGTGACATCACATCCCCCTCTGTGACATCACATCACATGAAATCATTTGTCCTATTATTCGGCCTCGTATTCACAACTTTGACATCATATTTCCCACAGTGACAGAAGTCATAAAATACACATTTTGTCACTTTATCACTTAAATCTTGACTAATGTGTATTAAAACACTAGACAGTATTTTAGTATTTTGTATTTATTAGGTAGGTTGAGTAGAGATTGTAATGTGAGACATCTTTTATGCAAATACAAACCTAAGTGTAAACAATCTGTTTTTAAAGATTTCATGAATTATGATAAATAAATCCAATTTCTTACAATGTTGCCATAGTAATATTATGAAATATGATAATGGAATTCATAGTTTACTCAAAGTTTCTGATTGTACGAGACCTACCTAATATGTTTTGTATTATATTGTAATTTACTAGTTCTCCATACTAGAATACTACTTTACAACATGGTTGTCATGGTGCTTTTCAATGTTTCTGAAAAATTTAATGAAAAGAGGAATGGGGTTTGATATAAAAGGCATAATAGTATACAGAATAATGAAGAAAGTGATTCAATATTTTAAAGAACAATCAAACATTAAAATTGAAAATAATATGCTATTTTATGATCTATTTTGAGGTTCAGATCATTCTAAACATTTTAGAAATTCAGTATCAAAAGCACTTGCTAGAAAAACATACAAAATCAACTCCTATAAACCATGAATACTGTGTAGAACCAGAAAGCCCATGACAGCTATGATATCTGTGGTGTATTGGTGTTTGTTTATATGTGCATTTTTACATTATAGTCGGAGGTCTGAATGGGTCTACTGGTGATTTGAGTAAGTTGTATTTTAACCCCTTATGGTCTCAACTTAACCCCTTCCTTGCCACGGATGTCTATATTTTGATTTGATGCATTCTGCATTTTATGTAAACAATAAAATCTGTCTAATTTTGATAAAAATGTTCATTTGGTTTATATCTGTATTAGTATTTAAAATGATTTTAATATTGACATACTTGATTTCAATTATTTTGCCAGATTAAGTTGTATCTGTCTAAATTGATAGAGAATTAATCTCGGATTTGCTGATTTATTTAAGGTCAGCCAGGGATCAAGGTCAAAAATCTATCTCAAGGTCAAACTGCTCTCATAGAATTAAACAAGGCTTTAGAGTTTTTGCAAAAATCTCAAGATGAACTGGACAGTTTCTCAAAATCTAAACCTCAAAAGAGAGTCTCTATTGGTAAAAATAGTGTGTGTTATCCAATTTTGGGACTTTTTGTGAGAATAATTGTGGAGATGAAATTTTTGTGAAATATTTAGTGGCATATATGGTCATGTTGTAGTATAACAATTACCCCTGTTCGATGATGATAGACTTCTCCATGTATCAATTTGGAATAGTCTATATGAGTCAATAGGGGTGATAGGATGGTTTTGAATCTGGTGGCATCTTATCATTTGCATCAAAATGTTGAATATTCCTATTTTTGGAATGTTTTCAGTTGAATTTGTAACATACAATGAATCTCATGTTCTTCTGTTCTCATTGATTCTTTGACTATTTCATTTTCATGAAATTCCTGCCATGCATGGATACACTTTGCTTATATGAACATACTTTTTTGCTAAAATTGTGCTTTAAGTGTTTTTATTTGTGTAATTTAAATGTATATTATTTAATTTTTGATTATTTTCTTGCTTTGTTATTCTTATCATCATTATTATTACAATGGGCGTGCCCTTATGTTAATCAATGATGATTCAATCCTGTTTTCTAAGAATATCCCTCTTTAGAAATCATGGACTCTGCTTTCTTGCAATTTAGAACATTCCATTTGTGATAAAAGGGGTGTTAAATTGTTGTCTGCTTTATTTTCCTCAGAATCAATACAGTCTTCGCACACATCTCTACCATTCTTAGTGTTACATAGTGCAGGTATAGACACATTTTGCTTTTCGCATGCTGTCAAATGTGGTTCGACAATCCCATAATTCAATGCATGTTATGCTGCTAAGCTTGATTCTGATTGGCTAAGCAAAGACTGAATGTGAATGCAGCCAATCACAGGACAATATAATGTGGATGTTTTATTGGCTAAACAGGGTCATGTGATGAGCAGATAAACTAGCATGAACAGAACCACATTTGTCAACTTGATTTTGCACATTTTGTTTGTATTTGAAATAATTAAAAAAATAACCAATCAAAAACACTGATCATCAAAATAATTTCAGTCAGATTACAACATGAAAAACCTGACTAAAACATGAGTAAAGATAAATCCTGGAATATTTAAAAAATTAATTATAAAAAAAATTAATACTGTTATCCTAATTTTGAATCTAACACCAGTTCTATATCCTTAATTAAAATTGACATTTTTATATTTCTTCCCAAGCATTTCCCTTTAGATCAGACATAATGTTTTGATATGGCATGGATTTCTAAAGTTGAATATAGAATGTAAAGGATTTAGATTGCACTTCATTTGCACTTTTTGATAACTAACATTTGGCCAGTTTTGTGTTGATTGAATTGAAACAGTTGTATTATTAAATACATTTCTTACAAACACAACTATAATCCATTGAATGTTAAAAAACGGTATGTGTATGATTAAAACCTTGCCACCCCTTTTATAACATAATAACCATTGAATGGTACTTCCACCAAGAAAATAGTGCCAAATTAATTGGTGCCATTTGTCATTGACATGGTACTTAGACTCTCTCCTCTAGATATAGTAACAAGTATAAGATCTAACTAACAATACAATCATTTCGCTCCTTTATAAATTTATGAACAATTATGTTACTTCTTTTTCACTAATGCCCTATTAGTCACATTTGATTTACGTTAACTGTATGGTGTGGCGGCAGTAGCTTCCCAAAATCAAGAGATATATGCTGCATAAAATATAGGGATAAACAGTACGATGTAGATTTTCTATATCCATTTTGTGAAGCTACGGCCGCCGTGGAGCAAATGTGACTGAGGCTTTAATGTCCGTCATTATTTGCATAAGTTATTATATATATTTGCTTTGTTTCCACATACATCCCTCCTTGCACTGACATCTTATTCGTGATCAGGAGTCATTTCTCAAATATATCAGGTTACCTGAACTGAGTTGCTAATAGTTTTTCACATATCATATTTAAACACAAAATAAATTGATGTTTCATCAGTGTGATTTATTTTTGAAGCTGTTCTTACCTTCTATCAATTTCAGTTTTGATTAACCCAGTCCAGTGCTACCATCTATTGGATTAAAGAAATTCACAAATCATATGCAACATTGATACAAATTCAGTTTACAAATCTTATACACCAATATGAATTTCAGAAATGGCACCAAATTGTGTAGTGCACATCTGTCCCTTTGCTTTATCCTATTTCTACTTGTTCTTCACACCAGATAGATGCATGTTGGTAATACTGATTTTTTGTTTTACAGGAGGTGATGAAGCCATCTTAACATATGAGGCTGTAGTTCAACAAGAACGTAAGTAAAATTGTCATTTTAGAAAAAATATTCAAATGAATTTTAAATAATTTGTTTCTCTGTTATATATAATCATTTACAGTTTTTATAATAAAATCATTTAGGCCTTTAGGGCCGTCTATATATTTTTTTATGTTATCATTCACTAGTAATAACTGTATTCCTCTCAAATTATACTCTGTATTTGTTTTACATACAAACTGAAAGCTTATCAAAGTTAAAGAATGAATATTAAGAATATTTTTACTAAAAAAAGCCTGAATAATGTACAAAACAAATGAAATATAAAAACAGGGTGACCCCAAAAAAGCAGAACTCATAAGTTTTATTCTAAGACTTGTGTGTTCTGTAGTATTCTCCTTTTTGGGTCACCCTGTACAATTCAAACACATAACACAGGATTGTAAGCTTCATTATTTGTTTGTTGTGGTCCAGTCTACCTTGCCAGACCAGTTATAATGTTTGGCAATGGGAAGGAGGAACTCTGTGAACTGCTCATTCAAGACTTCCCCAATGAGTATGGGGCAGCAATTCCTCGTAAGATATAATAACATGTTGAAGGTATAGACTAAAACATGGCAATCTACTTTGGTTAAGTGCCAGTGCCATAGAGGGATTCCATGATTTGTTTTATGCCTATATACGAAATGCTAGAGGCATGGACTTGAAGGTGGCCTTCTTTGGTTTAGTGCCAGTGCCATATGGGAAGGGTGCCATGATTTGGTCACTGCCTATATATGAAACGCTAGAGGCTAAAAGGTGGCCATCCTCTATGGCTACTGTGCCAGTGCCATGATTTGTTAAATGCCTTTATTTATGATGATAGAGGCATGGACTAAAACATGGCTTAGGTACTTGTATGGCACACCTTTCTCCACCAAATGGTTGAACACCATAGGAGAATGCCATGTTTTGCTGTTTGCCCATACTTAATGCTATATTCCTTTGTAGAGATGGTTGTATTTCTGTGAAATTTTGTTAAACAATTCAAATTGATGGGTAAAATCACAGAAATACTTTTCCATAAATAAGGCCGCTTAAGAAGGATGGATGCTCTAATACTAAATAAGTTATATTAATTCCTTATTATAGACCACACCTGGGATACAGATTCAGATACAATCTATATTGCTTATATGTATGACCTTATATGGTAATTATTATACAAGCTTTGCTAACCTACACCTATTTTCCTTTCCCTACAGTTAAATGGACTAGACCAGTAATTATACTAGGACCTACAAAGGATAGAATTAACGATGATTTAATATCAGAATATCCAGATAAATTTGGAAGTTGCATACCACGTAAGTATTTTGAACCAATAGTTTGCAGTAAAACAAACTGAATAAATAAACTTCAGTTTGATAAATCTATGACTTGACTATACACAGTACACAGATCTGACTCCTGATAGATATTGATCGATTAATTATATAAAGTTTGAAATGAAACTTTGGTTTCAAAATTATCTTCTCAGGATGAGACATCTTATGTACTCAAGCTTATTTTAGAATAATTAATTACTGCATTTTCTGAATTTTTTAAAAGATTGCTTCCTCTCTATCCCTTTTTATTCATTTAAGTTTTAATAAAGTTCCTTTGGCTAATCTTAATATCTATGTAACCTAATTACGAAAATCTTCAAGAAGAATCTTCAGTAATGAATTTTCAGTAATACATACCCTCTTCAATATTTATGCAATTTAGACTTTGATAAAATACTAAATTAAGAATGTAAATATTCAATAACTCATTCATTAGTTCTGTTCACCTCATTATTCAAGACACAACCAAAATGAAGTTTAAATATTGATTCCATTCCACAATTTCACTTCCCTATTTTAGATACCACCAGGCAAAGGCGAGATTATGAAGTTGATGGACGAGATTATCACTTCGTAGAATCACGAGAACAGATGGAGAAAGACATACAGAACCACTTATTCATTGAGGCGGGGCAGTATAATGATAACCTGTATGGCACCAGTGTGACAAGTGTCAAGAATGTAGCAGAAAGGGTATGTATTTCTAGACATCACATTTAAATTCAAATAAAGTTTCTGCATTCATTTATTTGTTAGGTAGTTTTAAAAGAAAATATAAAGTTTGTCAAATTTGGGAATCGATTTTAGAAAGAATATGTCTGATAAAAATTTGTTTGCTTTACCAGATGTGACACTTTATTCTTATAGTCCCTAATACTGGAAAAATAAGCTAATGGATTATTGGTCAAATTGACATTGATTTATGAGTATGGTCTCCCCAACATTTTTGTGGATGGCGGTTGGTGTTTGGCAGTCAGTGGTTGGCATATGTAAGAAATGGTGTCTATAATAAATGACACAAGGTGACATTTCGCATGTCAATTCCTTGTTTAAATTAAGAATGGATTCTTCAACATTTTGAGAACATTAATGTTAATTTTTCTATTCTCTTTTTTCAGCAAAAGCATTGTATCTTAGATGTCAGTGGTAATGCAATTAAACGCCTCCAGGTGGCGCAGTTATACCCTATCGCCATCTTTATTAAACCTATCTCTATCGAATCAATCATGTAAGTATACCTTTTTCATTCATTTTTTGGAACAAATTTTTCATTTAACACAAAATTAAAACCTTATTTACAACATATAGATTATATTAATCAAAATATCAATGTATAAATTAAAGATAGATAAGACATTTAATATTTAAAAATGTGTATGTATATCCATCAGAGAATATATCGAGACAGTTTCTAATCACAATACCGTACAGTTTAATAACTCAAAGCCTAAAACCCGTTGACTCAATTTATTATCATTTTGGTTCAGACTCAGTAAGAGCTATATTATAACCAGTCCATTTGTATACTTTGTACATGTTAACATATGTTCTCTATTTTTAAAGATGTCAATTTCTATCAAAATATTGCAGAACCGTCAGTAACTATTTTTTCTGTTGACAGGGAAATGAATAAAAGAATAACAGAAGACCAAGCTAACAAAACATACGAAAGAGCGATTAAATTAGAGCAAGAATTTGGCGAATATTTCACAGGTGAGTAAGGAACTATGTTACAAGTCTTTTTGAAGTATGAAACTTATGCCTTAGTCACATTTGGTCTACGGCAACTGTACGGCGGCTGAAGCTTCACAAAACCAATATAGATATACCAATCTACATCGTATTGCTTATTCCTCTATTTTATGCTGCATATTTATCTAGATTTTGGGAAGCTACAGCTGCCATATGGTTGCCTTAGAGCAAATGCGACTGAGGCATAAAGTCCACATGTCAGCTGGAAACTTTTTCCAGCTGAAATGCAGGTTGATATACAAGATGACATCAATTTAAAAAGTTTAATTCATGGTATATTAATCTAATTTTTTCAAGGGTTTTGTATTTTATAGAAGACATTTTTAATCACATTTTTGTGTTATATTTGATTGGTCTTGTACTGGATGAGAGGGATCTACATTATTCTGCAAAAGCCACTAAATGGGTACATCTAATAGTCACCATTTTTGTGACTGGTGGTCATTATCCCACCGAACGAAGTTCGAGGGGGATATAGAGAAGCCGTTCATCCATCCGTCTGTCCTTGTGTCCGGGCGATAACTCCAATACCGGTTGGTTCAAATTTTATAGGCTTATGCCTTATGAGTGTAGGACCTGCTCGAGAAGGAATTTTCAATATGGCCACTCAATTCAAAATGGCTGCCATTTTTCGTAAAAAAAGTAATCGTTGATAACTCAAATACAAGTTGACGGATTTGGTTTAAATTTTATATGCTGATGCCTAGAGACAAAAGAGTTTCGCACAAAAATAGGCCATTTTTCGTAAAAATATGTAATCTTTGATAACTCAAATACCAGTGAACGGATTTGGTTCAAATTTTATATGATAATGCTTAGGGACACAGTAGCTATGTTCGACAAAATTTTTTCAAGATGGCCTCTTAATTTCAAAATGGCGGCAATTTTTCGTAAAAAAACGTAATCTTTGATAACTCAAATGCCTAGTTCACAATGGTATAAACTAACTTTGTGCCAAATTTCATGCTTCTATCACAAAGTGCACAAACATTTCAACATTTACACTAGCTATAATAAGCATAATATATTTTGTTCAGTGGGATTTGCTACTCCGTGGAGTTGCTGTTTTTCTAGTTATAACTGATTAGCATATGTAACATATTGTTAAGCCTTAGTCGCATTTGGTTTACAAAATGGATATAGAAAATCTCAATTGTACTGCTTATCCCTATATTTTATGCTGCATTCAATTTTAAGAAGCTTTAGCTGCCATACAGTTGCCGTTGATCAATTGTGACTGAGGCATTACAATTTTGATGCCATTTGCAATAACTTCTAGATGATAACATCTCTTCATACTTTGTCTGGGTGTCATGGTAACTAATATTTGTTGTTGTTTTTCAGCGGTTGTGCAAGGCAACACTCAAGATGAGGTCTATGCAAAAGTGAAAGAAGTTATTCGAGACCAGTCTGGCCCTACAATATGGGTACCAGCCAAGGAGAAACTATAGAACAGTATTCTGACTGGACAATATAGCCACAACAGATCAGGAGTGAATAATTCCAGCATTTTCATTGGTCAGATTCTGCATGGATGAAATAATGAACGCTCATTTGTAATAGCTAATATTTGTCCAGTTCTCAGAGCAGAGAAGTGAATTTTTAAACACATTCGATTGGACAGAACAATGTTTTATGTAATATTTGACGACCTGTAGCTGTACTTTATATGGTGTATAAACACAGTATATATTTGTGTATAAAAATACTGTCTTTCCATATATAGTAGAAAACTCAAGACACTGTATGAGGAACACCAATCATGGAAATTGATTTAAAAATCATAGAAATTGAAAGTTCAAGATGGCGCAATGGGTGAGATTTTGTGATATACCTTTCTTTCACTAATGCCCTTATTTAGCCATCTTAGAACCATATGTGTTCAAATGCTAGTATTCTATATGTAAATGACTGTATATAACAAATCTTTATAAATATTGGTAACAAATATATAGAAGATGTGATTTTAGTGTATAAAGGGCCTAATGCCAAAGTAGACTCTTCCATTTTTGACATTTGATATGTCTTATAAGTAGTTATAAAGGGGTGGTAGGATAAGATGTTACCACCCTTTTACCCCTTCAACTTAGATTTATCTGCAGTATGATTTTGGAATGAATAGGGGTTGTGTTTGAAAGTTCGATTACTTCAAAAAATGCACCAAAATATTTCAGCTTTTATGTAAAGAATTCACTCATAACATGTAATACAATTTTTTTTCTTTACATTTAAATCAATAAAGCAAGCCACAGGTTTCAGTGCCTTTACTGAGGTGTTTTCCCTCATTAAAGGGCAAATCATGTCACGTCACAGGTGAAATAATTTCTCACATCATTGGATGCATTTACAACCAACCACTGTAACATATCTGACAAACCCCTTATCATAAATAATGGACTAGCCCATGCCCTGTAAATTGTTGTCGATGTCCCCTATCATGTTATAAATGAAGGGGTGGTAGGGTGGTGTATAGATGTGATTTATGTACATATTCAGCAATATATAATGTAATAATGCTATATTTTATGTGATTTCGAAAAATCATGTACAAAACATAAGCTATATGTAAATTTAGTTTTAGCTTCAATGTGTCATTTCATATAAAGTCTGCTTGAAATCCACATTGATGGATGCAAACCAGGAAAGTCAAGGTCAGGTCAAAAATCACAAAAGACTAAAATTCTAAAAAAATATTTTATAAAGATAAAATGCTCTTTGGATGTCACTCTGCATTGAACTTTGACCTTGACCTTCAAGTAACCTTGAACTCAGGATTTTAAGGTATGAGTTGTTTTAAGTGGTGTAATATTTATATTTCTGATTTGGATGTTTATTTTTGATGATCACAATTGTATTATTTATCTCAGCAGTTTTTGTGAACCACGCATACAATGCTATCTTTTAGTTATACAAATGTTGGAATAAATAACATGTGATTTGTCAAAAATAATTTTTCAAACTGGCAATATAATTTTTTTCAAATATGGTGCATATATAAAGTAAAATCATCATTTTGTCTATAAATATTTATGACATTTAAAGATGCATATCAGAAAATGTATTATAATCTAACACAAATGTGAGATGATGCATGATGGGATTGGTTGTCCTCTCTTGCAGACCTCCTTTATGAAATTATTGTATTCAAGTCATTTTGTTTTCATTTCTGATAGACTTTCCTGATATAACATTGGTTGAACTGTCTTATACATAAAGACTAACATTTTTGAATGTAAACTATTTCCATATATATATTGACACTTCAAATGTGATGCCATTTATCAATTTGAATTTCAAATTATGAACCTGATACAACGCCATCTATCTGTTGTATCATGTAAATTTTAGTCGACATTATATGTATTTATATTATTTTTTAGGATTTTTGTATAGAAAGTGATAACCCGAATTCACTAAATATTACTTGAAATTAAGCATATATTTGCCTTGCCATGGAATTAGGCATTGTATGGCTTGTCATGAAGTTGATTGTTTTCACAGTTTACACAACCTTCATGAATGGAATCATTGTAACATCTTGTGGTGTGCCTTTTCAGTTATGTAATACTGAAACGATGTATTGATTCACAGGATGTTAAAATAATTCATAAAAATCTGCAATATTGTGGCAGGTCCAAAAACTCAAAATTCTAATGTTAATGAAATAATGATTTGCTAAATGTAAAATAAATTTAAAACAATCCATGAATATTCCTGAACAGTATATGACAGGGTAGGGGTATACAGGGTGTTCCAAAAGACACTCTGCAAAATTGACAAAATGCCAGCACCAGTCCTGTTATTACTTTTGGAACACCCTGTATATGTTACAAACTCATTGTTTTAGAGTTGATTGTTAATCAAATCAAATTGTTCAAATTTAAAATCTAAAATAATTATTTGGTTTATAATGAGTGGGTCTTCATTCTTCATTGAAAAAAAATATGGAAAAGTGTCTGATATATAAAATATAAATATACAAGTTATTGAAGAAAATATATTCAGAGTTTTTATTGAAATGGACAATTAATTAGTCAAGTTTAGAGAAGAAATTCAAAGTGCTATCTGTTGCTACCTTAAGGTACCACTGCTGACACCTATTGGCAAGTATAAACACCTGAGCAGAGTATTTATGTGAAGTCTTCTAGTTTTTGGTCTATGTAATGATTTCACTGTCACAATATTTATCATTTAGTTGTACATTTAATGCAATTTTGTAAAGTGATATCATCTGTCTAGGAAATGAATACCAAGTTAATATAATATTAATTTTGAAATTATATAAAACATGAGTTTTTGTTATTATTTTTAGTAAAAGCTGTTATGGGAAAGCCATGTGACCCATCAACCTAATGTAAAATGAACCTCTGTAAGTGGAACACCTCCATAAGTGGAACATCTCTTATGTAAAATGAACCTCTGTAAGTGGAACACCTCCATAAGTGGAACATCTCTTATGTAAAATGAACCCCTGTAAGTGCAACACCTCCATAAGTGGAACATCTCTTATGTAAAATGAACCTCTGTAAGCGGAACACCTCCATAAGTGGAACATCTCTTATGTAAAATGAACCTCTGTAAGTGGAACACCTCCATAAGTGGAACATCTCTTATGTAAAATGAACCTCTGTAAGTGGAACACCTCCATAAGTGGAACATCTCTTATGTAAAATGAACCTCTGTAAGTGGAACACCTCCATAAGTGGAACATCTCTTATGTAAAATGAACCTCTGTAAGTGGAACACCTCCATAAGTGGAACATCTTATGTAAAATGAACCCCTGTAAGTGCAACACCTCCATAAGTGGAACATCTCTTATGTAAAATGAACCTCTGTAAGCGGAACACCTCCATAAGTGGAACATCTCTTATGTAAAATGAACCTCTGTAAGTGGAACACCTCCATAAGTGGAACATCTCTTATGTAAAATGAACCTCTGTAAGTGGAACACCTCCATAAGTGGAACATCTTATGTAAAATGAACCTCTGTAAGTGGAACACCTCCATAAGTGGAACAACTCTTATGTAAAATGAACCTCTGTAAGTGGAACACCTCCATAAGTGGAACATCTCTTATGTAAAATGAACCTCTGTAAGTGGAACACCTCCATAATTGGAACATCTCTTATGTAAAATGAACCTCTGTAAGTGGAACACCTCCATAAGTGGAACATCTCTTATGTAAAATGAACCTCTGTAAGCGGAACACCTCCATAAGTGGAACATCTCTTATGTAAAATGAACCTCTGTAAGTGGAACACCTCCATAAGTGGAACATCTCTTATGTAAAATGAACCTCTGTAAGTGGAACACCTCCATAAGTGGAACATCTCTTATGTAAAATGAACCTCTGTAAGTGGAACACCTCCATAAGTGGAACATCTTATGTAAAATGAACCTCTGTAAGTGGAACACCTCCATAAGTGGAACAACTCTTATGTAAAATGAACCTCTGTAAGTGGAACACCTCCATAAGTGGAACATCTCTTATGTAAAATGAACCTCTGTAAGTGGAACACCTCCATAATTGGAACATCTTATGTAAAATGAACCTCTGTGAGTGAAAAACCTCCATAATTGGAACATCTTATGTAAAATGAACCTCTGTAAGTGAAAAACCTCCATAATTGGAACATGTTTCATATTCAAAACTGACATCATGTAATGACTAACTCTTGTTGTAGCTACTGGAATATAGGAAACTGCCCTATTAAGTACATTGATTCCAAGGGTAGATGCCCCCTCAATACAATGTATTTGTCAAACACCTTTCTCTAAACACAGGGTAGCAGAAGTTGTTCCTATTTTGAGATAACATGAGCGAAAGTTTGTTAGTGCATGGTGTCAAAAAACGGCTCTGTTAATACAATTAGCGTGTATAAAATATCAACTCGATTTTGATACATTTGTTACAGACGCTGGTAAAAAAACAATGTCTTTGTCACCACTTTTGGTGATGGAACAAAAAATGGTCACATTTTCAACAGACTCAACAGACTGTACAATCGGTCTGCTACAAGGTGGGCAAAAAACTCCATCTTTTTTTATTTGCTTAATCTTTTTATAGCAGTAAGATATATGACTTAAAGATATCATCCTTATAGCAATACGCGATAACGTTTAATTTAGTTCAGTTTAGTTACCTGCCGTTTGAAGAGCTCTCATGTATGGTACAACTTCGTCTACATCCGGGTTCTTTCCCATTGAATTACACAGGGGTGCTATTTTCAATGCCGCACTGCGACTCTATTAAACATTTATGTAGAGTTTCATTTGCACAAACGATAGGTATGTATGTAATTAAGATATATAAAAAGGCTTTTTGAACTATAATCCCCAAATCCGAAGAAATCTGTAGTTGAAAATGCCGTCCAATTCCAGTGATGTCACTGATTTCCCAGAAATTGCCCAGACGCCATCGAAGATCTAAAAAATATAAATAATGTTACTTTGAATCTCCGATTATCTTTCTAATTATTGAATAGATTGGATCATATAACTATGCTTGAGTGCTGATGGAAGATCAGAAGCTGAGAAACGTTCAGCGTAATCGACTCGTTCGGGGGCCAATGAAAATGTGTCCCATCCAAAGCGATGCATCATGGGAGATATTTAAGTAAATTACCACCTGAACTCTTATCGCGAATAGGAGTATTGAGGAATAAATCAACTCCTTTGAATCAGGTATGAAAGATTGTCTCTCAAGACTTCTTGGCCCACCCTATATACAGTATATGGTGTGTTTAGATGGCCGCAGAGGTCAACAAACAATATTAATCTAATACTGTAACAATAGTTTTAATTAAATAGAAATGATTCCCTATCTACACTATACTAGAATATATCTTACATCCTACACTCCCCTAAAATATTAGCAACCCATTCTCTATTGGATAGCATTGGGAGACATGTTTATGCTCATCTGAGGGAAATATGGCGATCCCTGTCTAACGGACAACTGTCAATTTATGATTTTTATTTTCAATACCACAACAAAAGCTAACACAAAACTTCACAGGATTTTTCATTAAGGAGTATTGTAACTACACATATGATGGATGGAAAACCTGACATTATTTTCGCTTTAACACGTTATCCGGGTGGCAAACCTTTGAAGGGGAGTGTAATTTGTAATTGTACACAAATATTTGATAGAATTTGCTCGTTATCTTACTGACTTTGGCAACATATTAAATATCTATTTGCCCATTGCAAATATTAAACACAGGAGAAAGACATTAAATAATTTCAAATATATTATATATTGAAAACTAGATATATTGTGTATTTATTTTTTCCACTTTTGGATTTTTTATTTTTTGCCAAGCAATCACACCCGACTTGTATACGAATTGGCCTTGTGAAACCTACACTCCCTTTCTTACAGTGCAATTAAAATATCTTTAATATCCTTTCGTTTTCTCTGGGAATCCTGTTTTACACTCCTCTTCAAAGTTTGGAGTATGAACTCCCTGTTGAACCACAAAAAGTTATTAAAATATAACATACGCTATCCAATCGGAGTTCTGATGACCGAACATTTTTATGGGGGAGGGGGTACCTCTGTACTTGATGATAGTATAGTGATTAACTACAATGAATACAATATATGCATCATATTTGTGCACTGATCTACACTGTTGCTCATAAATATGGAATATTTGATTTGGCAGCGTAGAATTCAAATTTCGGAGTAAGAGAACATTTATTTGGAGTTGGTTCAGACATTTATTTTCTAGGCAAATCATAACCACATATATCATCTACAAATCAACATTTTTAGAGAAAAGATATGCACATTTGAATTTAGAAAATTACTGTTATTTAAACAGGGGTAAGCTAAGACTTTTTTGTAATTCAAAACACCCCGATCCAAATCGTCATGTAAAACAGATCAAACAAAATAAACATCTCGTCATGAAGATTGAAATGTCCTCTATCCAATGATAGCACTAAAATGCGTTATGTTCTCTTTGTGCTGCAATCAGAGCATCAACCCTACGGGACCAGCATTGAATGAAACATCTGACATTTCTAAGTAAAATAGGCCCCATTCCTCAATCTGAGCAGTGCGTAACGTGTCTAAATTTTGAGGTTGGGGTCCAAGTCACGAATCTCATTGCCAAGATCATCCCACATTTGCTCTGCATTAGCCTGATTGGCTGACTTTTGTGCCCATGGTAGCTGGTCCACATTGCCTGCCCTGATGTAATCCAACACGATGCCACTAGCATATGCAAAAGCATGATCATTCTGCAGATGAATGTTGCCCCCAAACTTTGTTATGATCAGTCAGCTGTGGTTCCTTTAAAGGTCTCATGCCCTTGCATCCGTTCTAAAGAAATCACCGGTTGCCTATAGCTCTGGATCACAGGTTTTGAGGTGAGACAGCCATTCATTTCGTAGCCTACTGGTTGACTTAAGGCGATTTTGATGACATAAATGCAGCAGGTGGTGGTCTTTTCTTACACTATTCTCTCTAGGGCTACTATTGCTGTGACCTGGAGTCACATTCCAGTGGCTTTGGTACCACTGCAGAATTTTATAGACTGTTCCTGTGACACACCCCTAGGGTCCTGACAATGGCAGTTTGTATCATGCCAGAGAGCGCCATCTCTATGATCTGCCTTGATCTTTTTCGCTAAATTTATGGGGCTTGCCTTCTAAAAACTCTTCCAGCTGTAAATTAAAGTTTTATAAAATGCGCACAATGGTTACAACTAAGATTTGGACACCTCTTTCAAGTTACCAATATCATGAGGTCATGGGGTCACCTGAGTGAATACAAGTTTAATCAACCATAAATGTTTTAACTTTTCATACCAATCAGTTTTATTTGCAAAACTGATGAGGGAATGAGAACACATTACAAATTTTTATCAAAATGTTATCATTTTGTAGAAATTCCATCAAACAGTTCGTATCTATAAAATATTCCATATTTATGAGCAACAGTGTATACCTACCATATGTTAGTGTGATCAAAATAATTTGACTCATAGTGTTCTACCTTTCTTTCCATACATACATTTCTATGTAAATATCCTCGAAGTCTAAAGTTCTACTCGTCTTATGATACAAGGAACATATATTACGTTTTAAATTACATACGTATTTCTTCCAATCAAAACTGAAACTAGAAAAAATAAAAAGCAAGAATTAAAGTTTAAGTTCCTGTATGTGTATATCAAATTGTTTTGTAGTATATTATTTACATATCAGTTGTTCTACTCATTCAGACAATAAATCTCATAAAAATCTTTAAGTGAGGTATATAGTTTAGTAGTAAACGTACATGTATTAATGTTTTTTAAGTCCATGATACATTACATTACATAGTTTTTTATATCATCAAACTTCTTCAACAATGTCTCGAGATTACAGCTTCTTCTGATCATCACGATGAAGGAGTATCTTACATACTTTAGGACGTTTCCATTTTTTCGATGAGTAGTGTGTTTACTTACATTTTGACCTCGAGTCATATGCTTTCATTTTCGTTATTTTGCTCTTTAACCTTCTGAATCAACGGCAGAGAAGGTAATCACAAGTTCACAGAATCAAGAATGGAAGCAACTAAAATAATTGTTGTTGCCATAGTAGCCGCTTTGTCTGTGTGCTACTGCCAATGCAAGTCAAGGGAGGAATGGAAGACAAGGATCATTTACCAGGTGAGACTTTTGATTGGCTTATTGTATCACCACAAAAATGCAACCATAAATGTCAGTTTTTTGCGTCCGGCGTAACAATTCCAAATTAACATGTTGTGAGTGGTGACATTTTGTCATTACATGACGTTAAAGGTGCAACAATTATTAGTGCAGTTCAATACTTCAGTATTTTGCATTCAACGATCATCGACCAGTGTCAAAATATATTTAAGTTTGGATATTTCATCAAGACTAACATATATTTTTATTATCTACAAAGAATACCCCAGAATGAATATTATTTCAGCTGATATTCCTCTTGAAACATGGTGAATCTTAAAATATATAAGTGGGACTCCCTAAAGAGGCTTTGAACTGAATTTACACTTCTTAATGCTGAAATTGATAGTTAATCCATTCATTTTAAGAAAATAGGTATGTCAAAGATGCTAAGCCAAATGTTGCCCTGATAGCTCAGAAAAACTAAACATTTTCGAAATTTCTCTCTATATGCTTTGTTGCCCCTTTAATGCCTGCTTAATATTTCGGGGTTTATATTCTTTTATGTCAGTGTATTAGAAGTGTTGGATCGTTCAATTGATGGAAGAAATTGAAACAAGTAAAATACAACGAAACTCAGGGAAATGACTCATTGTCCTGTGTCATCAATTCTTGAGCTGATTGTTTAAATTCATTACTAACTGCTCCCATAGATAGAAAGATGGCGATATAGTAGATCTATTCTCTCCACCACACTGCCATCTTTTTTCGAATCAGTCACTATTTAAGGAATAAATAATGATAGGCCATTCAATATGGTGAAATTCAGCACGAGTTGGACAGAATGTTGTACAAAGCACGAACCGAAGGTGAGTGCATTTGTACTAACATTCTGTCCAACGAGTGCTGAATTTCACCATATTGAATGGCCTATCATTATTTATTCCGATTCAAACATAAAAATTAGTAAAAGCCGTGTCTGTGGAACGGGCATGAAGGAAGAATACGCATGCTGTCAAGATTCTGAAGTCGGCCGGAAAAATTTTAGAATTTGTTTGGGCTGTTCTATTTTACTCCCCGTTTTAGATTTTATACGGTGTATAACTTGAAGTCAGCCATAGTTAACTAGTTACAGTAGTTACGGAGGGAGTAAAAAAGAACAGCTATCCCCGGACAGAGCCCCAGATGTGCAGCTGAGATGTGACGTCACTTAAAACAATGCAAATTGCAGATTAAATAGAGCATGGTCGTGCATCTATGGAGAATTAGAGAACGTTCTATATTGGCTATGCTGCATTCTGATTGGTTGAGAAATTCGAATAGAGCACGGTCATGTTTGAATTCTCTTTACTGCATTTGAACTTTAGGCGCAATTGTAACATTTAACAAACATTATAAATACAATGTTAGTAAATGTGAACCAAGGTGAGGGTAGTTCAGAAATGTCGTCCAGAAATTAAAACTCGGTATTTTATTTTCATAATTTCTGACCAAATGTTCGTGCGAAAGGCTTACAATGAGTGTCAGAAGCATATACATAATGTACATAAAGCTCTCTATTGAAGAACCAATATTTATTGAAAAGAATAAGAAGATATAGACAAATTCTGGAGATGTCAATTTCTTAGGATATTAGTCAATTGAATAAATAAAGATGAAACAATGCACTGTAATTATTTCCTAATTAAACAGTCTTCACCACAAACCACACAACATAATATCACATATATTATAGGATTAAATTGGAGCCAGCAGCCCGCGTTTATTGGAAAAGCGTTAAGTACATCTGGTACAAAGAATGAGTGAAAAAATGAAAAAAATGAAGCCAGTTCGCGATGCATCCAGGTACCTATGACGGCCACGATGCCAATGTCATAGCGGCCACGATGCCGATGGCATTAATGCCAGAAACCCCTTAGGTTCAAATATACCCAACATCCGTCCTCGGCTCTCAACCTCGCTGCTGATTTACGATGTTAACTGCCTTCAAGACACCAATAAGGCACCGTATACCTAATTAAAACATCTAAATCCAACAACCCATATCCAATGATCAACTGTCATTAAACCCATTGTGGCTACACGTTTGTTAACACGTCAAAGATCTCAAATAAATTCACAACTTTCGGAATAAACCAAATTCTGAATTGTGACTGTATCTGTCAACTTGCACTATAAAAAATTGTATAATGACCATACTCGTATATAATGCCTTCTAGCACTATGCAAAATCTGTGAGTAATATACCTCACTATCTAATACAGTAATCACAAACTGTCATTAATACATATTAACAATAATCTAAATAACTGTCTACAGACTTGCACTGTAACCATATCATTGCCTCTTGGCAAAAAAACGTAACTTAGAAAGTTAATGAAACTTACTTCTTTAACAGACTGTCGTAATATGCGACATTGTTGGTCACAATAGACAAAAATTCCGTGATTATCACAAGAATACACGAACGAACGTATACAAAAATCCTAGGATCTTCTAAACTATTGTGATGAAAAATATAAAATCTGGAAAGCACCATGCTTTGCAAACCCTTATACCAACTGGTCTCGTGTTGCAACAAAAGCAAAAGTACAACTCTTGGAAACGTTGTAAAATCTAAATACTATAAGAACTGTTTAATATAAAATGCAATTAGCTGACAAGCACTTCTCTTAATGTGTTTGTCACATTAATATAACACAACTACTGTAAAATGTTGTTGATGAACATAGCTATCATCTTAAAACACCAAGACTTGATGCCCTTCTGGGAATAGATATTACATATCTAAAAATATAAAGGATTTTCGAATATAATCAATATCTTAAAAAGCAAAACTTTGTGCTTTCCTCGAAACAATGTGACAGAAACGCACTTAAATACATGTTTATTCGCTAAGATACAATGCGCTGTCAGTAAAAATTAAACCATGCCTTGAGATTCAGATTTATATGCAAATTACATAATTGCTTCTAAGAAACCTAATATCTAAATGTTTTAATTAACATCCTATATTATGCAATGCATTGTAATAATTGCAGAAAAATATACTTCCCAAGATAGTAATAAATGGGAACAGGTTACCTCAACGTCAGAACACATATACTTTATTCAAAAACGTTGATTTGGTCAAAAGCACTTACAAGAAAGTGTTCACTAACTTCAATATGAAAAACGTTAGTTTATCGACCTGACACCGTTAAAACCCAGATCAAAATCTTTGTGACTTCGAAAGGGAAAAAGGTATGCCTCCTCGAACAATAAAACTAAATTTTCGAATCCGTTGTATAACAACTTACAACATAAACTAAAACTGTGTATAAACGCTTAGGTTGCTGCTCGCAGAATAACACGATCCCATCGTGCATCTACTCACATAACCTAACCTACTCATGATCACATCATGTTATCCAATCAGTTGAAATCGCGTTCGATTTCACTAACGTTACGACGTTATATCAACCGGAAATAAAATAATTCAACTCTAATTTCAAACGTGTTGAATTTTAATTATTTCCTAATTAAACAGTCTTCACCACAAACCACACAACATAATATCACATATATTATAGGATTAAATTGGAGCCAGCAGCTACGCCAGAACCTTCTAAAAAACGGGCAAACTAGTGACCAAAGCTCGAAATGTCTCTTCTTTGAGACTTCCAACAAAGGTAGTCTTCCTTGAATCAGTCCAAGGCATCGTATCTGTATCACACGTACATGTATCTGTCTTATATGGATCTCAATCCAACAAAGTAGTCTTCTTTTAATCAGCTCAAAGCATCTAATCTATATCATGCTTGTATCTATCTTATATGGACAAATGTGTCCCAGTGTTCACATACGCTTGTGTCCATACCTTACTATTGGTTGTATTTCTTGTATCTATCTTATATGGATCTCAATCCAACAAAGTAGTCTTCTTTGAATCAGTCCAAACCATCTTATTTATATCACACTTGTATCTATCTTATAAGGACAACTTGTGATCCAATGTTCATTTAGGCGTGTGTCCATACCCTACTATGGGTTGTATTTCCTGAAATTACACAGAAATAGCATTAAAAACATGTAAATATCGCATTGTCGCTCCAAGCGACTAACCCCTTTTTGAGGTTGCTAAATTGTACCTGCGTTCGACGCATTATACGAATCCGTCAACCCACGATACAAGTAGACTTAAAGTCTTTTACGTCAGAGTTCGAACTGTACTGCATCAGAACAACTGCTCGACGTAATGGCTATAATGCCAAACATGATAACATTCTTTACGTCGGAGTTCCAACTGTACTTCAACAGAACAACTATTCGACATACTGGTAATAATGCCAAACATGATAACAATTTTCATGTCGGAATATCAACTGAACTTTAACAGAACAACTGCTCAACGTAATGCCAAACACGTTCAATATAGAATGCAATTAGCTGACGAACACTTCTCTAATGTGTTTGTTGCACTAATATTGTAAATGTTGCTAGGAACACAACTATCATCTTAAAACCATATTAACTACTATTCGACGTCATGGCTATAATGTCAAACATGACAACAATTCTTATTCAACAAAAGAACTACTCAACGTAATGGCTATAATGCCAAACATAATAACAATCCTAAGTCAGAGTTCCATTACGTAATTTTACTAAGTGCATTTCTTGTTGCAGGTTAAACATAACAATCAAGTAGTCTATCTGAATTGACAACTTCAAAAATCAATTCACCAACCAACACAATCGCTTGAACTAAACTATTCCAAAATAGATTTTATCATCTTTCAAATAACCTGCTCAATTTCAACCAAAATCATATGCATTAATAAATATTAAACATCAATGTTTGCAAAAACATGGATAATCCAGAGAACATACCTGAATCCAAATATCCAATGTATCAACTCAAACCATTTGTCTATCGTACATAGATTTCTCTATGCTATACACAGTAAACTCTAAAAATGTACAATTATCATTTGGACCAGGAATCGACACACTAAGCTCACGCTTATTTCAAAATGTATCAAGTATGGAGCAACTCCCCAATTTTTCATTTAATCTTCTAGAATTTATTCAACATGCAATAATCGTGCATTTAACTAACAATGTAACCAAAGTAAATGTCCAAATCCGACTACTCCCAGTCTCTAATCAAGACAATTCAACTATCTTCTAAAGAATAGTCAATCTTATGTAAACTCGATCCAGGTTTTAAACCTAAATGATTATATTAGGGAATTCAATTCACCTGCCTAATCAGACTACTTAAAGTATCTATTCAAAATCTTCAACTCGCCTTAGAAAAGTATCGATTTTCAAACAAATAGAAAACAAGAGTGATAAAGACGAAAAGTAAGCAAATACAACCATTGTAAAGTATGCGTACCAAGCATATGTCTGAATCCGACTACCCGTGTATCGATTCACAACATACCTTCAAAGATAACCATCTTCTTTATCAATGTTATAAACAGAGAAACTGGACCGAACTGTTGGTATAAACACCCTATCAGAAAACCTAAAATGCTGATATTACACAATGCAGTTTTATAGGATTTCACTTCTATTTTACATGACCAGTATTCAACAATATCGATCCACGACATTTTAAGCTAAAAGAGCTATTTATAAACATAAATTAAAATATACTAGTAACCTTTTTGCATCTATCAACATAAACTGTTTGAGCCTGAATACGACTACTCTTAGAACTCATTTGATCAAGCAGTTTATTTAACTGAATCAGTCAAATAAAATATTCTCCATAATTTACCAACTTGTCTATGAAGACAAAAAGTTCTGAATATAGAAACTTATACAGGATACAATTTGTTTTTGTACGGATATTCAGTATCTAAAAAGATATGCCTGAACCCTACCCTCCTGGTAACGATTCACGACATTTCCCAACCAAAAAGTTCTTTATGATTACTCTCAGAACCCCTTAATGGCATTTTGATCATTTCTAAATATGAATCAATGTTGTGAGTAGCAAACAAACATGTTTGCGGTAACATAGAGCCTACAAAAAATTAAGAATCTGTCTAATCCAAGCATCCTCTTGATAATAAAAGTTATGAAAGTGTACAATTTCATTTGCAGGATATGAAGTATCCAAGGTGTAAGTATGAATCCGACCCTCCTGGTAGCGATTCACTGCAATAATGTCATAAGCTTATAACTTAAATACTATACAAATATAGATTACCAAACAACGACATTTAACAATTCAATGACTCCTGAGTAACACAACTCGTTAGTTGTTTGTCATGACTTACAAAATTGAAATGCTTACGTTGCACAACTCTATTAGTTTATACAAAAACTATAATGTAATATCTATCTCTGTATATGCGCAACATAACAGTTCATTTGAAAAACGTTTGCTATAAAATAACATTTTAAAATCTTTGCCCAACACTGCTTTTTGCTGAACCGAGGGAGCATATTTGCACCTTGCAATTACCATGTCTGAAACAAATCAACAAGCATAAAACCGTAACTCTGGCTTAAAAGCTGCCAAATCTAAATAGGATGTTTGTTTGTAAGGATTCCATCTCCCTATAACACATAAAATGCAGTCTTTGTAAATCTTCGGAAAACGTACCCGTTTGCGTAGTGACCTAAATATCTGAAACAATTTCAAAAACATGAATATTTTGACAGTCAAGTTACAAACATCCAACGTCTGTAGCAGTGTGACGTCTTGCCCATGACTGAACGATAGATCTTGCAATCTTTACTGTTTAGTGCTCTTGCACCTGTGACCAATCTAAATGTTGTTTTTTAGCAAAACTTACAAACCCTCTATCCTTACATTAATAAAAAGGATATTTGATATGCTAAGCAAATCTGTATAACAATTACTTATCTTATTCATTGCGATAGCTGAACCCTCTTTGTTTAGCGTTCTCGCAATCCAAACATTGGTCCTTAGCGTTGACTTCTTCTCATGAACCAGCGCACCTCTCGGGTAACGTCGCATCGTTCGATGTTACTGAAACTCAAACGATTACATGGTCACTTTTCGGGTTTACATGTATAATATCGTTTCAATCGTTTATGCAGAGCATTTTGATATGTGGTCGATTACTCTAACCAATCAACAATATTTTCTATCTGAGAAACACCTTACGAAATGGCCAAACATTACTTATTTCAATATAAACTACTTCTTACCCTTGCCAAATCGCAGGTTTTCTTACTGCATGTAAGACGAGTATCAATCCCAATGTAGAAACACATTGACGGTATTGCAATATCCTCTGTTCATCGTGTATAGGTATCAGTATATGCATATAACAAGGGCTAAATGATAATAAAAACCGAATGCACCCATAATAGTCGCATCTAGCTAAAACTGTGTATAAACGCTTAGGTTGCTGCTCGCAGAATAACACGATCCCATCGTGCATCTACTCACATAACCTAACCTACTCATGATCACATCATGTTATCCAATCAGTTGAAATCGCGTTCGATTTCACTAACGTTACGACGTTATATCAACCGGAAATAAAATAATTCAACTCTAATTTCAAACGTGTTGAATTTTAATTCCTTATGGCAATTCTTGATCGCTTGAAAATAGAGAGGTATGAAAAGACAAGGGCATGTATTAAGTGAAGGCATGTTTTGTTCAACATTTTGAATGATCGATGTGCGGATATATTCAATGTTTCTTTTTGTCTGTTTTAGCTTCTTACGGATAGATTTTCTAACGATAATTCCAATGATGGGGCGTGTGGAGGTTCAAACTACTGCGGTGGCACCTTCCGAGGAGTGACCAATAAGTTAGACTACCTACAAGGACTGGGTGAGTCATTGATCCCTCCCCTCCCTACACCCCCCCCCCCATCGCTCCTCCCTCGCTTATATATATGGACATCCTTTGGATTTTAGACTTATATCAGACTTTTAGATCACATTTTCCCATGGGATTGCCAACCGGAAGTTCTTTCGGAGGCACTGATTTCGTGTAAATGTATTTTACACAGGCAGGCTTTTACAAGCTATCTAATGGAGCCGGGGCTATTAAATAGTGGATAAATAGATGGCAGCACGTGTGTTGGTTGGGCCAAAATATTATATTTATAATATGCAAACAACTGGCAAAAAGTCACTTAATTTTTTGATTTCGAAAGTATTTACATTTTGATTTGTGTAAAACCCTTAACTTTTGAATGATAGATTTTTTAACTTGTCATCCCACTTACTTTTCACATTTGCGTTTCAGGTATAACTGCAATCTGGATATCCCCTGTGGTAGAGAACACTGATGGCGGTTACCATGGCTACTGGGCCAAGGATCTTTACGCCATTAACTCTCATTTCGGTAGCGCAGACGACTTGAAGAATCTTGTCAGCGAGTGTCATAAAAGAGATATATGGGTCATGGTTGATGTGTAAGTATTACTAATTAAACATTTTTTTATTTATACGCATTTATAGGTCGTCGTCGGTGGGAGGGGGGGGGGCACAACAGGCCTGGTAATTTGTAACCCACTTCCACTGAATTTCCCCGGTGACCCCTTCACTTACATTACTTAGATTGTCTCATAATACAAAAAGAAAAACAAGCAGGAGGGTATATACTCCCCTTCGACTAAACCCCATATCCCGAAAACATTTATCACATTATCACATTATAATTTTGTATTTCCTATTGTTAACAGTGGTTTATAAGCCCAAGGTGGGCTGGGTAAAATCGTAATTATTTTTTATATTTTATAATTGAATTGTAAGACTGACCACTATAAATAATTAAATAAACTAAACTAAACTATAACCCCTAGTTAGAATACTAGTGGGGTGGAATAGGGATAGAGATAGTAAAAGTAGAACAACAAAACTCAAGCATGTAAACAATTGTATTTATACAATAACTAGATTTTTATTGTTTAGCCATTTCCAACAGTGATATATTATCTTATAATATACTTGTACAAATATCTAAAAAATAATTTACAAATTTAAAACAGACATATAAACAACAAAAACAATGATGTGTCTCCTAGAATATAGTCACTGCAAAGTAACAACAATAGATAGCGCCACGTCCAACGTGTATGTAAATAAAAATATATTATTCAAATATAAATAAATTAATAATATAATTAAATCCATAAGCATTTTCTACAACATTTTGCACATTGCGATTTAGAAAAGTTCAACTTTTAAGGCAATGAGTACAAACTAAAAAGTTGAATTGATTTATAATCGGTTTAAAAACGACCAAAAAGTAATTATCGTTTTTATTCGAAACTAATTAATAGTCGGTGTATCCACTTTCCCATTTCGGAGTCCAATCTGGTCCATTAGGCTGTCCATCATTAAAATCATAAGGGTCCATTCCCGCTAACTGGCGAGCGTTTAAACTTCGGGCAATATCGGGAAGTTCCGTAATTGTATTTTCTGGTGTACTCCGTGTGTCCTGCCAAACGCGGCCGCCTTGCGAAGCCCAATGTGTGGTTAGAAACATATTGGTATAAGCTTCACGTTTATTTCTGAGTGTCTTTTTAGTTCCCCATATAGCGGGAGTCATCGTGGTAAAAACACAATAGCGCCATCTTTCTGTAAGTAGAAATAGAAACACCAAGATAAAGACAATGCTCTGGTATAAGTATATAAAATGTGTGGTATTGAATCGAAAATAAAAAGCTATTTTTGTAATGTATAAACCATGAGTACTGGCTGTTAGGTAAAATAATGGCCAAGGGTGCTGACTCTCATGGAAGGTAAATGGTCCATGATCAATTTAGCTTATAATGTACTATTCAAATGTAAAGTCTGATTTCTTTTGTATTGACTATTCAAGTATTGATACTATTGATAGTAATCCGCTCATTTAGTCATCGTGTGATTCGTTCATCTGAGGGGCAAATTAGGGCTGTAGCAAGTGGTTTGGCAAGCTTAGGATGAACGAAACTTCAACGTTGACTGGAGTTGGTTTCGTAAATTGTACCCTTTGCATTCGTTTGACTTCACTTCTTAAAAAAGAGCTTCGTCTTCGTCTTGTAGTTTAACTAGACTCTGCACGCAGGATACGTAAATTGTATCAATAGCTAGTGATCCGATTTGGATATATTTGATAAATGCCCTTGAAACTAGTATTATAAAAAATCAATAAAGCATTACAGCTGCTCAAATCGTACTACAAACGCGCAAGGTTGTTTTGACATTCAAAATGTAAATATCTTGGTATCAGTTTCGTAGTAACTAATTACACACATGTAGTTTCGGTTCCGAAAAAAGGATTTGAAATTGAACACATTCCAACGCATTTTACCAGGTGAAGCCTTTTTGAATAAAAAGTAGTTGCATTTCGAAACCAATAAAGTGGTTGCATTTCGAAACCAATACAAGTAGAAGTAGTTGCATTTCGAAACCGAAATAAGTAGAAGTAGTTGCATTTCGAAACCAATATAAATAGTTGGTTTCGAAATGCAACCGGTTTCGGTTTTGTTACGTAGAACGAACCCACATTACATACAGGGTTGGGACATCATAAAGTTGCTCGATTCGAGATTTCATTTTATGTTACACTCCCGTTACACTAAACTAATGAGCGTAATTATATTCCACAAAGGCATGGTGGAGGTAATTAAATCATCCAAGATCCAATACAAATATTTGTATTTATTGAAAAAGAGAGTCAAGTAATAGTTTCAAACCACGTACCTCGGTGTTTCCGATTTTGTTTTGGGAAGGCATTCGCATGAACGAGTCGCGCGTCCCATATGACCATGCCCCCTTTTGGAGCCCCGATTCGACGCACTGCACAGCCTCGTTCCAGAAACCAATCAACCTCGCTTTCGAGCAGATTACGTGGTCGGAGTGAGCTGGAGTTATTGGTATCGGATGTTGGACAATTATTGAAGAATGTATCATGGAACTTGTGAGAGCCCTCCATCACTGTGAAACACCAATCTATACTTGTGGCTTCCTCGAGATAAACTGCTCCTTGGAAGGCATGGAGACCTAGCCGTTTATGTTTCTGGTCTATATGGAGCCAATGTTTTTTTGGCTTGCGGTGGATGTTACCTTTGGAATCAATAAATTCATTATCACCTGTAAAACAATATTTAAAATGATTATTCCAGATTTTGAGTACTCCTAGAATTATGCAAATGTTTTTGACATTGAGATTTTTTTTAAATTAAAATAAAAGATTAGACCCACCTGCATAGAATTCAGTTGTGCCATCCTCTGGGGGTCTTCCGATCGCCACGCCATCTATACTGGTCAACAGCTTTTGGGTATCCCAGAGTTCTGCATAGACTCGTTTTGCATGAAGCCGGGCGCCCCAAGTTGCAGCAAAATGCCCTGTAAATGTATTTCATGATTGTAGAAGTGTTTAGAAAGAAATTCAAATACAGTAGTGATCAACTCAACGTTTTTAAAGACTGTCACTATGACAGATGATGCAGAATAAATTGTATACTTTAACAAGTAAAAATTTCTTCAAAAATCTCCAGATTATTGTCAATGAGAATACCCAAAACATTATGACATTAATTGAATATTAAAGCATGTTCGATTTGTAACATTTAAAGTATCCAGCCATATCCATTATATACTCGTCAGGGGCACATCTGAGAACCAACAAAGGGGGGGGGGGGCAAATGATAAGTATGATAAAAAATGGTGGGGCCCTAAAACTAAAAAGTGGGCCCAAATTTTGAAAACTTGAGGGCTATATAGGGCTATACTCCTTTGTACTAAAACCTACCTACCTATTCTGTATCCTTGTATTAAGGAGAACCCACTATTCTCAGTGTTCGGAAATGGAATCCCTTCAGCATTGGAGAACTTTTTCAACCACTCTTGGTATTCGTTTATGTATTCGTCGCATGTTGTTGATGGAATAACATTCTCTACTACAGTCACGCCCTTCTCGCGCAACTCCTGTTTGTGCCTTTGGCTGAAAAAATCAGTAATATTAAATGTTATAAATAAAGACTTGGTAACGTCTTCGGTACAAGACCCTGACGATTTTACTGTGAACATGTTTGGGATTGATGGGATTTCATATTTTGCTCGTATTGTATTCTTGTAATTATTTAAAGATTGTGAATCTTGCGCTGCGCCTCTCCGCCTTTCCACATACAACTGCTATGGTTAAGCTAGATATTTTATAAGTATTGCGATCGAAAATACAGTAAAACAAATCTGGATATTTAGGCCCTAAAAACTTTTCAGTTCAGATTATTTCTCCTTCATTTTGCAGTGGATAGAAACGCGTCCAGTATTTTCGTCTGGTACAACTGGAAATACTGGACGCAGACCTCCATTTTTTGATCCAGAAATAGGTAGGTGTAATTTTACTCGGTAGCGTGTGATCGTTTTACAGTTTACCTGTTTTACAGTTTTTATCGTTTTACCTAAAAACAGGCTTATCAGATTCCCAGTACATTGGGGAACAGCCAATTCTTATAAAATGACAGCTATCCATTTAGTTTTTTCTGTAATGTGGGGTTAAGCACAGAAATATTCTAATCTTTTTCAGGAAATACACGAATCCAGTTATATTTATTTTTATTTCAATTTTTATTTCAATAATTAAAATTCTGGACAAAATGAAAAATGCACTGGACGCCAGCCTGTTAATTCCGGATGGTTTGCGTCCAGTACATTTTCATTTCGTCCGATATTTCTTTAAATGTCATTTTTCTATTTTCGATCATTTCAAAGCTAAAATCTGCCGACTAGAAGCTGTATGCTTACTCCATACACAAGAAAATCAAAAATGGAGGTCTGCGTCCAGTATCTCGGTTTGTACCAACGAAAATACTGGACGCGTTTCTACCCCCTGTTTTGTATTCCACCTTTGGTAAAACCGAAGACGATTTCAATCAATCAATGCATTTTATGTTAATTTAATATTTGTCTTTAATCATTAAAGACTAAGACTAATTTTTCCAATAGTAATAGCATATCAGTCACATTGTAAACATGTTAACCTATCTAAATTACACTCCCCTCATTAAGTTTGGCAACCTTAGCTCCCCCATTGAACTACGTTTTAAAGCCTCTTTACGTTTGAATTTTTATTAACTCAACCTGCGATGAAGATACTTATAATATTGATGGACGGAAACGTCACTTGACTTTATTTTCAAAACCTCCAAATTTTCTCATTTTTCACCTCAATTACTCATATGCGAGTAGGTAGTTACCAGTTTCGCCACCAGGTGGCTGATTCGGGGGAATTAACATGACAGGGTATTACAAAATTCCCTTAAACTTGAATATGCATCAGTTTTAGTGGTTCACTTTTCATATTACCTTTATGTTTCTGATAGTTATACAAATTAAAATATGTCCAGTAAAAGAAAATATTATCTGCCCAACACAAGAAAAGATATTTTACTTTTGATGGTTTTACAACATGGGGTCTATGGGGTATCTCCCCGAGCTAGAAGTCACATTTTCAAAGAAAATTAAATTTTCAAAGTTGATAAACTCTTTTCAAAACCACATTTCTAAATGTAATTTTACATGTAGATTCCAAATATGACATCAGTTTGACTGAATTGTGAATTTTTAATGACGTAAATCAAGATTATTTCTAATCGCATCTGGGATATTACAATAGGTCGCAAATTGATGATAAATTTGATGGATTTCTGAAAATTGTCATTCCCATTTAAACCAATTGGAAATGGTAGATTTGCCGCAAGTCAATTGACAGAATATCCATCCATCCAAGTCCTTGCAAAAATACAAGTTATGTAGGAAATTGATACGTTTCTTCGGGTTCTATTCTAATAAGCTCTATAACTTTAGTAATCATCAAGTCAAGTAAACACTTAGTGTACAAAAAGTTAGACAATTCAATTTTCTATATAGAAATATTTTTTGCTGAATCTTTTACTGAACAGATATCCTGACTTTTGATTTGCCCCAAACCACCATTTCCCATTAGTTTACATGGGAATGAATTCAATCAAATTTATCATCAATTTTCGACCTATTGTACTTGAGGAAAAAATTGGGAAAATTTGAAGGGATTGGAAATAGAGTTAAGCTACGTTTCTATTAATATTATAAGTAATTTCATCGCAGGGTAAGTAAATAAAAATTCAAGCGTAAAGAGGCTTTAACACGTAGTTCAATGGGGGAACAAAGGTTGCCAAACTTATGGAGGGGAGTGTACATTCTTTTTTGCCAATTCTGCGAAACAATTATCTGACTTCACAAGTTAAAAGTCAGGTCTAAAATCAAAAGATAACAGCTATGTGCATCCCGTGACTATTTGAACTCGAACGAATATATTTACTGGTCTACAATCGATTATGTATGAGAGCTTTTCATAGATGCAAATAGATTTTTATTCTAGCCAATGAACAATTGCAAAATACAATTTTCGGTAACATCGCACCATATATCATGGAATCTCTGTCTTTATTATTATGCATTTAATAAAGTTGTTAGTTGCAGTTGTTGTTTATATATGTATACAAAACAAAATTGAAAATAGTATACACAATTTGTCATGAAAAATAAAATAGAACCTGATAAATTTTGTAATTCTAAAACACAATATGAACGGTACTTGTGATATGCGTCCATTGTTTACGTAATAAATATGATATGGGATATGTATGACCACTAAATTTCATATTTATCATATTAAAATCATAACAAAGACCTCGATTTTATTATTGCCAAAGAAACCGAGATTATATGATTTGAACAATGAACAGAATAAATCATAGAATCTCGGTTTTTATTCTTTAATTTTAAAATCAAATCAAATAGCCACGGCAATATCATTTCAAACACAAATTAAATGTATTGCTTTTTATAATCTTATTTTATAAGTAATATTATGGTCGAATATCAATTATGATTAAAATCAAATACTTAGCTTACCTTAGCAACGTGTGTGTCATGTTTGTTTGTATGTGTAAGTAGATTGTTCGCCTGAATTTGGCCCTTTAAATACTCAAAACATTGTCACTTCTGAGAAATATTGATTTTCTGCATTGCAGACTTGGAATTACCAGTTTCGTGGTCCGATGACATCATCGATCTAGATTGATCTGAACATATTGGCACTTAGCCAATTCCGAGAATATGGTGATCCCGGGGATTAGAAATTCCGGGAAGTACGACACGTGATGTATTCCTGAGGATACCTGATGGTGAATTTCTCGAACCTTCTACAAATCAAAGAATTGCTATCGTGATCGTTGCTCCTTGTGTTTATTCATTTCAAACTAACAAATACTTCTCCCTTTTGGGGAATGGCACATGGAAAAGACCACGTAACATCATGAATGATTTGATCCTATGTTTCAAATTGACTTCTGTTTAATAAGAAGAAAAATATTTCCGCTCAATTCAAAATGGCGGCTATTTTTTGTAAAAAAACAATATGGCCGCTCAATTCAAAATGGTTCTCTTTTCCAGATGGCTGCTGTATTCAAATACATTTTGTGAAAAAAATTAATCTTTGATTACTCAACTATGTAGAAATTACAATAAGGAACCAATATTATTTCTCGCCCCGATTTCTATCGTGAATTTTTTTAATACGAGCTATGCAGTTGATTAATACATGTTTTGCTCGACGGGGTTTGCTACTTAAAAAACGGGGTTTGCTACTTAAAAATCCACTGATTACATCATTGTTATCAATCCTGAAGATGAATGAAACTATTGAGGAATTCTGAATGTTCAAGGCAGTATGGAGTAAAATCTCTTTTCTTAAGAGATGTGCCCCTATACATGAGGAATATAACATAACAACATCTTTTTTCAATCTTCTATCACGGCATTACAGGGTTGCAAACCATGTGGGCTATCCTAATGGATGTCCCGGATGTTCCATGCAGCAAGAGACAGACTTTTCTGGTTTCCCACAATTCAATCACACGGAACATTACCACAATTATTGTGATATCAAAGACTGGAGTAATCAACCTGAGGTAGGCTGCCCTACGACTACCAGTAAAATTGGGAGCTTTTTATATGACGATCAAGACGTGATTATTGTTCTAGCTACCGTTTTTGTGACTGCCCTCTGTGTTTGTCATTTTCAAGTACAATGAAATTGTTTTTATAACCTGTGGTAACATTTTGTCATGTTACACTTATATCTAGTAACTTAGAAATTTCCAAATTCATATTTAAAAAAATAATATATAATATGGGATAATATATATGATGAATTACAATGGATTCAGTCCACATTTTCGAAAGGATTGCCAGCTAGATAATCAAAGAAGTCATAACTTTTTACAAAGAGTGTGTATACTCCAACAGGTGGAAAACTGTCGACTTGCCCAACTACCCGATCTAGCCCAAGAGAATAGTTATGTGAGACAGACACTAAAAGATTGGATCCACAACCTTGTACAGGACTACAACTTTGATGGAATACGTATTGATACTATACCCGAGGTAGAGAAAAACCCACCCCCTCAATCATTAGGGCTGAAGTAGATTGCGTTGGAGGAGGGGGGGGGGTGGCTAAGATTTAAGCTCTATTAAGCGTTGTCTACGTGGTTGGTCATTCCAATCCAATGTCTTTTTTATTTTTTCTCGCCTATTAGGATTTTTTGTTTCATTTTGATTATTTGCACTTTTGTATGTTTAGAATAGAAAGCCCACTCGGTTGGTCGTTGTATGAGCAAATAACAAAGGGATTTGTCAGTTGTTCGGCTTGCGATGCTATTTGTTTTCGCAATAAAAACATGAATATGAGCCCAAAATGAAATAGAATAGTTCTATAAACCTTGAAATAAAGAATATGGGCTAAGAGAGTAAACATATAGAGTATGGAATACTACCCCCCCCCCCTATGTTTCATCCCGTCTTTTGATATGCGTTTTGTACATATAGGTTCCTAAGGATTTCTGGAGTGAGTTCGGACAAGCTTCTGGTGTGTTTCAAATTGGAGAAGTTGATAACGGGGACCCCCACTATGTGTCGCAGTACCAGGGTCCGCTTACTGCTACCCTGAACTACCCCATGTATTGGAAACTTAGAAATGTGTTCCAAGAGAAGCAGTCCTGTAAGATTATTAGTAGTGGACTACATGACGTGGTAGGTATCATAGAGGGGCGCCTATCTATACATGTCACGACAGTTTTTTTTTATGTCACCACCACAAATTGTTATAATAGTCTCCAGCTTTTGTGTGGCGGCGGTCGGCGGCTGGCGTCTGTAACAAATAGCAGGTGGTGACATTTTGCATGTTAATGCCTTGTTGGTTTTGCTGTCATTTCGGGATTGTTTGGTGCGGACGATCGACTTATTGTGCAAATGAATATCAATTACATTATGTTATATATTGAAAGGAAATGGGACGTCCAAATGAGGAGGAAGGGGACAGAGTTAAATCAGGAAGAAATACACTTTTGATAAAACCACAGAAAATCAAACGTTTGTTTCCATTTGTTACTGATCATTCAGTGATTGAATATCTGAAGTTTTAATTATAAAAAATCACATTGTTTTATTCTCTCATGGTGAACTATATGAAACATATTCCACTTTAAGATGTTTTTCACATTGTAGGATACACTATTCAAAGACCCAAGCGTTCTTGGAGGTTTCCTTGACAACCACGACAACCCTCGATTCCTGAATATTAACAGTGACTGGACTGCACTGAAAAATGCACTCGCCTATAATCTTATGGCAAAGGTAAATAGTAAGAAAAAATCAACTCTGTGGTCTGTGATAACGTTATCAAAATAGTGTTATCACAAATAATAATTATAGACGTTTAAAATCAAATTATGATAAAGAACACTTATACGGTATATAACATATGTCAACATACTTTATAATAAAGGCCAGTCAGTCTGACATCGATCGTTGACAAAAAAATCGTGACACTTCAAGTATTTTTTATTTATTCTTCGAAATTTACTTAAATTCGTTGAATTAGATTTTTATTCTCCGAAGTGGATGTTGTTTTGTATCTTTTATCTGTGTTTGTTTGCAGTGGATTCCAATCGTATATTACGGCACAGAACAAGGGTATACTGGTGGGAATGACCCGGGGAACAGGGGTTCCCTCTGGCCAAACTTCAACAAGGAACACCAAATATACAAGGTTTTGTGCATTTTTAACCTTTTATATAGCCCCATGTAAGAGCATAGGTCTAATATAAAATAGTAACGTTTATTGAGGACATGTTGAAACAGTTGAGAGGTTAAGCTTTGCATATATAATCGAAACTGAACCTGTACGTATCACTCGACCATATACAAATTCATGTAGCCTTCTCATATAAATAGCCGTTCAAATCCAGTGTTTGTTTAGACTACACCATAGCGTGTAATGATTCTATAGTATGTCATTGATGCGGTTTTATAGCTGGTTTTCTAATACATATTTTAAACGAGCTCGTTTCGTAAGATTTTTGGCGCTAAATCATGCATGACATACATCATCGTGTTCAGCAAGAATTCAACTGTGCATCGAAATCAAAATTGACAGCATAGTGTTCAATAGACACTAGTAAAATGGTTCCCGTTGACCCAACGTCAAATTTCAAAATCTCCCGTTCTAAACCCGAAACTCTGAAGCTGAAAGAGTATCTGAAGTAGACTAAGCGCGCATAAAACTATGAGCGCTCGATACATTCCTTTGTTAATTTTTGTACTTTGCGTTCACGGTTACGTTGTGAAAAACATCGTTAGCTTAACCTCTCCATTATTTAAGCCTTCCACAATGGGGAGTTCTCTATAAGTCACGTTGATATTCAATTCAAATGTTAAATTAAAACAATGTAATTGAAAAATAGTGGGTCGCAATAATGGAGAAATGTTTCAAAATAAAATAATTTGGATTACTCTAAAATTGTAAAAGTATTATTACGTAAAATGATATTTTGTATCAGCGACACCTAAAGACTATAGCTGACATCTATTTTAAATTTATTGAAGTTTTCTATTTTGTTTTTAGTTTATTTCTATTGTTACATACATGCGAAATACTCTCGGAGATGACTTTATTTCTTCCAACCAGAACGAGAGATGGGCGGATGATCAATTCTACGCTTTCACCAGATGTTCGGGAGAGAAGGTACAAACCAATCACAAACCTTCATATTATAATTAATATGGAATACAGGCCCGTAAGACACTTTTCTCCAAGGGGGGTGCGGTTTTTAGCTTACTAAAGAGAATATAAAATTGTCTTTTTTTGCCGCGTAAATCAAATCGCGTAAGACAGAGGGGGGGGGGGGCAGTTACTCCTTATATTGGTTTGGTATCAACAAATGCATGCAACTTCCAAACGTACCAATTGTTTTGTGGGGGGTGTGAGGACTGGTCCACTCCCCCTAGAAAATTTTACAGTTTTGAGATGCTATTTGGTGCTTTCTGGGCACTTTCAAAGTGTAAGTTTCTAAGTAGTACGCCACCACCGCGGGAATAAGAGTTGAGGGAATAAAAAACCGAGCATTCAGGGGGGTCTGGGGGTTCTCCTCCAGGAAATTTTTGAAATTTGGTTGTATTTGGACCGAATTTGCAACCATCTGGTACGCCTGTGCGTTATGAGTCAATAAGAAAAATGTGATTTTTTTTCAAATTCTTTTGGGGTGTCAAAGAGGATGAGAGGGTGAAGTGGGGTGGGGTGCCAGTAGGGGAGCAAGGGGTTGTCCCCCAGAAACATTGACCATATCAAGGTGCTTTTTGATGATGTCTGGGCACTTAAAAAATGTCTGAGACAATACATAAAATTCAGAATATTTTCTTTTGGTTTGGGGGATGTGAGGGGTGGCTAACTCTCCTAGAAAATTTTACAATTTAAAGATGATATTTGGTGCTTCTGGGCACTTTTAAAGTGTATTAGTCAATAAAAACATTGAAAAACAATCACAATTTTTTTCAAATTTGGGGGGTGTCAAAGGGGAGAGGGGTGCCAGAAGGGGAGGTGGGACTGGGGCGCCAGATGGGGAGCAAGTGTTTGTCCCCCATATCAAAATTTACAATATCAAGGTGCTATTCGATGAAGTTTGGGCACTTTAAAAGTGTCTGTGCCTAAAACGTCCCAAGAAAATTTTACAATTTTAAGATGCTATTTGGTGTTTTCTGGGCACTTTCAAAGGGTATGAGTCAATAAATTTTTTTTTGAAAAATCTCAATTTTTTTTTGGGGGGGGGGGGGTGTTAAGGGAGGGGGCTGCCAGAGGGGGAGGTGGAGTGGGGATGCCAGATGGTGAGTAAGTGTTAGTCTTCCAGAATCATTAACTTTATCAAGGAGCTATTTGATGATGTCTTGGCAATTTAAAAGTGTGAGACAATACATAAAACAAATTCAGAACTTTTTCATTGTTTTGTTTGGGGTGTGAGGGGTGGCCCACTCCCCCTAGAAAATTTTACAATTTTACGACGCTATTTGGTGCTTTCTGGGCACTTTCAAAGTGTATGAGTCAAGTAAAGAATTTGAGAAAATCACGATTTTTTGGGGGGAGGGGTCAAGGGGGGGGGGGGGGGGGGCGCCAGAGAGAGAGGGGGGGGGGGGTTATGCAAGTACAAGATGCAAGAGGGGGAGTAAGTCCCCCAGAAACACTTACTATATCAAGGAGCTATTTGATGATATCTGGGCACTTAAAAAGTGTCTGAGACAAAACTCTAAAATAAATTTAGAACTTTTCCATTGTTTTGTGGGGGGTGTGAGGGTGGCCAATACCCCTAGAAAATTTTACAATTTTAAGATGCTATTTGGGGCTTTCTGGGTACTTTCAAAGTGTATGAGTCAATGAAAAAAAAATTACAAAAAAAAAATTATTTTGGGGGTGACAAAGGGGGGTGCGGTCGCACCCATCGCACCCCCCCATCTGACGGCCCTGGAATATACGCAACAACATCAAACTTATTCAAGATTATCGATAATTTTTTTTGTCCTGCTTCGATACGGGTTTCAGCGTATATATTCAAACTCCAGATATTTATAGTTGGCCCTGCGCGCAGTCTAGATACAGTTGTTTCGTATATAAATGAATTGGCAAAAGGGGGCAACAAAATTAAAATACTGCTAGCCGTGATAATGTGAAATGGTGAACATACTGGATCCCGTAATGGTGTTAAGTAATCAGAATGTCGGATTGCAATAAGATGCCTAATATCAATGAATATTTTCTGATTTAACTTCTACGCATTTCAGGTATGTTGGTTGTGCACATATACAATATACATAAACCCTAACTGGTAATATAAGAAATAAATAATTTCAAATAATATTATTTTTAGGTTTTGATTGCCCTTACAAACCAGGGATCTGGTGCATCATTACAGCGTACGATTCCCAACTTGCCTTATAAAAACGGACAAGGTGCGTTTGTTTAATCGCTTACGTAAAACGGACGTTTGATGCAGCATTTGAGCTGTAAAATTAAATAGGTGTGCTAAACGTTAAGCAAAAGAGCATATTACCATAGGTTCTGAGGCCCGATTCATGAAAGCTCCGCAAGCTTGCGGAATTCCGCAACTCCCTGCGGTACCGCTATTTCCAATTCACAAAAGGGCCGCAAAATTAGCATCACCGCAGATATCTTGCGGTACCGCGAGAATTACGTCATTATCGTGCGGTACCTCTGTACTTACCGCAAGTCACTCTCTGAAAATTCAGCGTAATCAATCCCCTTGAGAACACATTTAACATTAGCTTTAAGTGATGGAAATACGTACATGTGTATTTCATATATCATCCTTTCATAAGGACAATTTTCTAAATAAATAAAATAAAAAATAGAATGTGATATAGACGTTTAAATATGGATGTAAAAGCAATGTGTTATGAGTAGTTTTTAAGGTTTTCAATGTTGCGGAACACCGCAACTTCAATTATGTACATTTTTAATATGAATAATAAGTACCCTCTGGTAGCTATTTGTCATCGTCAGTCCATGGACACAAGAACGGTTGCCAAACTTATGGAGGGGAGTGTATCATATCTTATATCCATATCATTCTGCTAATTTCAATATCACCCCGGGAATATATTTTGAAGTAGATTTCGCTCTCGATTATGTTATAACTTTTATCATTATTCACCTGTCTAGATGATATACAACTCTGTAGCCACCGGGGGTTCGAGGGTTTCCCGGTCTAACTTTCCGAAAATTTCCCTGATAGCCATTTCAGAAGTAAACGGTGAGTTTACGGTATTAATTAAAAGATCGCTAAAATTAAACAACACTGTAAAATCCCCAGAGGATCCCCCAAATTGAAGGACTCGTTTTCCCCGAATACTAGTATTTTCATTAGAAATTATTAGTTATAGATCGAAACAAAGTATATTCCTTTAATGATAGATCACCATTTTTCGTATTAAAGTTGTGAGATTAAGAAGAAATGTTAAAAAGAAACAGAGATTTACGTGCGAAGAAAACCAGAAGATTTTTCTTGAATATTTCTTTCAATCATTATTAACTGTTTTGAAATGATATTATATTAGTAGTATGGTGTAGAAAGCATCGAATCATAGATATTTATTGGGTGATGCAGGGAATTACAAAATGCGTCTCTTTTACCGCAATTTAGAGTAAATAATGATGAACTTATCATTCTAGATCCTAGGACGAAGAACAGCCAGACATGAAGCAAGCGTCGCTCGAATTTTACAGATTTTTTTGTTTCCAATGTTTTTATGAATAACTGTGTAGAAACAATTGAAGTCATTGGGATCGCCTCTGTATATACTGGCTCTGTGGTTGTCGGTTTATCTCTTGCCATCTTGAATGCGAAAGTGACGGCACTCACGGCAGTTACCTTCGCTTGATATCGACCAGTGAGGAATTAAATTAGTCCAAATATTGTTTGAGATACAACAGTACAATAGAATACAATGTGTTATTTTATTCCGATACTATAAGAAATTACAGTTTAGATAAATTGACTGTAGGTCAATAAGATAATTTTATTTACAACTTTACTCAATTTAACCCATATCAGCAACAAATTCTAAATATATTATCTAACGGGACGTAAAATTATGGGTTCAAGACGCCGATACTGGTGATCTAAGCTTACCTCCCTCTTAATGCAATCCCATGCCTCATTCTTTTTTTAAGCGTGAGCAGATCACTTAGAGAAGGCGTCAACACATCATACTTTTTTTCTATGATGTCCATCATAACTTCTAATTGAAAACTGGAGAATTAGCCTCCGAGCGTTGTTTTCCGACCTCGTCAGCCATTTTTTGAAGCAGAATGTCAACCCGAGATCAAAATTAACAAGGGTCGCTATAAGAGGTCAAACTGACATAGGTGTCCTAAATTAGTGACACCGGTCAAGGACATGGCTTGCGGACACGGAGATAACATGCGGACACGCCCTGGATTTGCGGATAGCTTTGTGAATACGACGTAACGCAATAAATTGCGGACACGCAATAGGTCCGCAAATACATTGCGGACACGCAAGCTTGCAGAGCTTTCATGAATTAGGCCTCTGGACCGATATAAAGATGGCAGCACCAACAGAATCCAGTATTATCTTTTTCTCTAAACACAGATCGATTACCATGCCATCTTTATTTTAAAATTATTTCTATCAGCCTTTGCCTATGCATACTAGTATTACATTCTATGGGACACAGTTTAAGTTTAAGACGTCGATTAAACTTCTAAACGTTTTCTGTCTTGTCTGTCCCATAGCTAGATTTACACATGGTATATGTTTTGCCTATGCCCATTTTCAATTATCTTTGTTGTGTATTCTTTTTTTTCAGAGTTGACAAATGTGTTTGACTCCAATGATCAAATCACTGCAAACAATGGACAAGTGACTGTGTCAATACAGAACGGCCAACCTAAAATATACACAGTCAATAGCTCCATGCGTTTTGGAGACTTAGAGAACAATTCTGGTAAGAATGCCGATAATATCTCATATATCATAGAGGGCACAAAGGGCAATATCGAAAATTAAACTGACATAATTACATGTACATGCGTTCAACATAAAAATACATATGATTTTAAGACTATAAAAACTTATTAATCAAGTGTAAAACTACAGTTCTCTCAGGAATCATGTATCTCACCAATGATGTGTCCTATCATCATTTCTATATCTCATCACTTATATATCATTGCCAATCGTGTATTTCATCAAATGTGTGTCTTTTTATTTCCAGACGATGATCCTAAGTTCGGTACCATTATGGGAGGAGTTATTGGAGGTGCATTAGGACTTGTAGCCATGGTGATCGTTGTGGTTGTCATAAGACACAAACGTTCTAAGAATAACAATTATGAGGCAATTTAGAGGCAACTGAGAGTATTCTCCCGGACAGAGGTTCAGATCCCCACTCGTATACTCGTAATTTGACGAGTAATTTGTCAAATACGAGATATAATTTCAAAATAATTACATCCCCTTTTAACCACACGTTTTGTCAAATATAGAGACATTTTTCCAAAAAGTTAAAAACTTTTTCCAATCATATCTTTTCCATGGATTATCTTGGAAAATGAGAAATATATTTTTGGATTACATGGTGTAATCTTAAAATAAACAAAATGTTTTAAAGTGTATTGATGTTTTTTGGTTGAAAAACATAAGCGAAATTCATGAAAAAAATCCCCCGATTCATTCTACAAACAACTCGCCCTCTTTTGACAAATACTGTAGATAAAGTTGACCAAGGGAGTCATTACGACACTGTATTTTTGAGATCCCAAACCCTCACTATAAAAGTCACATTTTGCTGAAAAAGCAAAAAATGCAATCTTAATCAATATATCCAACATACTTCTGCATGACCACTGGGGATGAACTGGAAACGAGGGAGGTTTTGCCTCGTATCAAAATGGCGGCGCGTGAAAAAATTTCATTCGGTAAGATTTTTGTTTTTTACAATTTTCGTGCTTTTATCCTTCAAATTAAAACTTAATATTTGGCAAGTAAATAGTTCATAAGTTCCGGTTTTATAATATGATTACAAATTAGAAATCAATACTGGCATTGCTGAGATATTTACATATCAATTCTCTCACTTAGGAAACGAGGCATGTTTTTCAAGGAAACGAGGCAGCTATATAGCATTCTTAAGAATGAAACGAGGCAACCATATTTAATTAAAAATGTTTTGTTTTTACAGAACGGGGCCTATAAAAAGAAGCGTCCCTGTTCATTTAAAATCACCATGTGGCATGTATTTTTAGTTTATTTCCTTCAAAATTAGTTTTTTACAGTTATTTTAAAGAAAAAAATCATCCCGTCCCTCATCAGCATTTTAGATAGACAAAAAGGTAATATAAAAACCGTCATTCCCGTATCAATTTTAAAAAATAGAAGAAAGAGAAACAACTAATTTAATTACCCTGGCCTAACATAAAATGTATATGTATATCTATGTCATCAGTCTATACATGCGCGTATATATATAGTGATACATTTGAACAAGATGGTTCTGGAAAGAAATGAGCGTGGCAGATTTGCTAAAAAGCCACATACACCACAAAAGCAAGACCAATTTGAAAGTAAGTTAATTATTCTCAAGGGTACACTTCAAGTGAAAGCTACATTGCTACAGGGTGGCCTATCATTCTGAGACAAATGTATTATCCAACGATTGTGATTTTCGAAGCTAAAATATGATATCTTGAGCAGATGGAAATACATTCCCATGAGATATGTATATATAGTAAAAAGTGATAACTATTTATTGAGTGTAATGAAATGTATCCTTCGCTAACTGCTTTTGTTTGAGATAATTATCATGAAATATTTTTAGATTAATTTTTATGTGTGTCATTGATCCTAATCCACCCTGTAGTCTGGTGTTTGTAGAGCATTGCACCTCGTACAAGCATTGCTTTTTTATGTTTACTGTATAGCTATATTTAGCCTTGATATCCATGATTTATTAAAACAAAATCTCACCGTTAGATTTCGAGCTATTCATGTTTACTCATTTTTCTAATTGGAAAACAATGCAAATCTCATTTTTTCAAAGGAAAAAAATTAAAATTCTAAGACGGTGAAAAATCATTAAAAAATACACAGATTCAGAATCCGGCAAGCATTTTCCCTTATTCCTCTCCGTTAAGAAGTTTTGTAAGGTGGTGGATCCTTTTAACCCTTACATATATAATCATGTATATCGTGTAAAACGTAATCGGTAGTATGTGACCAGAACGGTGGAAATAAGATCACTAAATGTAGACACTATCACAGAAAGAATAGTTGCCTCGTTGCAAGTCAAACATTGCCTCGTTTCATTGTTACAAAATGTAGACAGGTGCCTCGTTTCCTAAGTGAGAGAATTGAAATATAAATATCTCAGCAATGTCTGTATTGAATTCTAATTTGCAATCATATTATAAAACCGGAACTTATTAACTATTTACTTGCCAAATATTAAGTTTTAATTTGAAGGATAAAAGCACGAAAATTGTAAAAAACAAAAATCTTACCTAAAGAAATTTTTTCACGCGCCGCCATTTTGATACGAGGCAAAACCTCCCTCGTTTCCAGTTCATCCCCAGTGATGACTATATTATCGATTTCACAATATTACCTGTTCCACGCCAGGCTCATATTGCAATTTAACATAGTATTTACACCTGGACCATTTTCTAATATAATCTGCAATTCTATGCAGTCTATACAGTATATAATGTATTGGTCATTATATACATTGCTGGAGAAAGGATTTGGAGTAGTGGGACTTTGCAGGTGTGGCACCTTCATTAGGAACCTTCCAACATAACAACATAGCGAAGAATACATCTACTGGTCTTGAATATGACTTGTCAGCATCATCATCAAGAAATTCTAAGCGAATATGTTTTTAGTACTGGTATAATTATATAAATAGGATAAATGTGAGCAGACTGTACTCCCGGACTGTACAGTTCATGTACCTGAATTCGTCTGTCCTCGATTTCAACCACAAACGGATATGATGTTTTGGCCCTGTTTTGAAATGGTAAGTTAAGGTGACTGTTAACTTAATCGATTTTCAGAAAAAATTGAAAACACAATCTTGAAATTTTCAAACTCTTCCTGAGAAGTCGTTTTTATTATTTCACATATGCTTGTGCACTGTAATCATTACAAAGACATCAAAGAACAACAAAAAACTTTAGTTTGAGAAAAAAGTGCGGTTTAAAGAATTTGAGAAGAAATTTTTCTAGGAGTAGCCCGTGAAAAACCGCTGATTCAAAATATCTGAACATTTCAGAAAATATACTTCAAACATATATCAAAAACGAAGGAGCAACGGAAATTTGAAAAATTACCCGATAAAAAAATTGGGATCAAAATAAGGAAAAAAGTACACTTCTCAAATTGTTTTTTTTCTATTTTTTTAATTTGTATGAGAGATTTCAAAATTCTAAAGCTCCTTCCATTTTGGGCTATATTAAAGGGATGTTTCAGAGAAATTAGAAAAAGAAATGTTCAGGGACCTTTGCCGTGCTACTCTTTTTGTCAATTTTTCTGTCACATTTTCAGAGGACTCAAATTCCCATTCCAAAATGTTTACTGTTTCTATTTGCATTACCACAGTGAGCCTGGTTATTTAAATGATAAGTGGAACTAAAAAATTGAGAGAAAATCCAACCAAAAGACAGTTAATTTTGATTGTCAGATTATACTCAAATGCCATGTGCTTCCTGGTTTCGGCCATCTTGGATTTTTTGATTAAGTTATAAGTTACCTTAAAGCTAGGATAAAGAAAAATATCATGACACTGTATTAGGATCGTTCCTTACATTTACAAAATAATCGGACAAAAGCTGCATATAATCGCTTTAATTTCAAGAGAAAGCCCATGCGCATAAATATCTAAAAATGTGACAAAAATATTTTTTTGTTTGCTATTAGTAATTTTAATGATCAATTCATGAAAAAGGTCAATTACTTAAAGGTACCTTAAATGACCTTAAAGGTCAATATGTAGGTACATGTAATATAAAAATAATGTAAAAGCTAATTATTGTACACTCCTGTACATAAACAAACATGAATAAGTGCAGCAATGAATATATGTATTCACATGGACCTTTAGGAATTTAATAGTCAACATTCAAGTGAAAGTGACTCACAAAATAAACTTATTTTGCAATGATGGATTCGCGAATATGATGTACTTATAGGATTATTGTGAGTTATAATTCGGAGTAAATATCAACTAATAGTGATATTAATATTTGGTAAATATTACATTATGAGGTGATAGTGTACACATATGCAACAATATTGGTGAGCTTGATCAAGTTTTATTCACGTATTTATGCGTATGGCTCTGTAGGTAGGTATAGCAGTAATAATAGATGAATCAATTACGAGTACACCTGTATTGTATAGCTTGTATAGAGAGAATATTGCATTAGAATATAGGATACTCTACTATTATGTTCTACTCATAGGGAGCAGTTAGGAAATTGGGACAGCTAGGAAATTGGGGTCTACAGATGGAGACCAATGTCCCATAAACCAATTGTGACATCGTTGATGATGAATCAGCCACGACATATAACGTTACACACCGTGCCATCACTCTATTCTTTGTAACTATTTAGGTACCAACGTTAACATGGCTACAAGGTAAGTCTTCATAACTATTATCTAATAGTACCAGGCCTATCAACTGTCCCGCGTATTTGTCACGTATTTGCTGAAGAATTTGAAGTTACGCCAGTTATCTTTGCGTGACAAGAAATGTCACGCAAATACGCATTTTACCTGGTAATTGTCAAGCAAAAATATTTCTGTAGAAAAATTTCTAAAAAGATCGTCTACACAGCAAAAATACGAACGCCGGAAAAAAAACGTACGCATTCCGTTCGGACTTTTCACAGCTCCCCCCCCCCGTTGATGGATGTTTGAAACGCGATCGTAGTGAGCGCGAAAAATTTGAGGTGTTCAAAATTTGGCAAGATGTAATAAAATTTAAACCAAGGTGTTCAAAATTTGAATCAAGGTGTTCAGATTTGGACCAAGGTGTCCACATTTTCAGTGAGGGGAGGTGTTCAACATTTCCAAGTCACTCATGTTAGGTGTTCCCAAGTTGACAGGCCTGTAGTAATACAGATAATTATTATTGTAGGAGAAGATAGTATCATTGTCTGAACATATATATAGGGTGGGCCAAAAATAATTCCATCCATTGTAACCTTTTTGTTAGTCATTTCAACATTTGTTATCTTCAATACTTAAGTTTGGGAAATTGAAAAACAACTCATTGTCAACAGCTTGTGTAAATTTAACCCAATATAATAGAATTACTAAACGCAAGGGTTTCCTGAACACGCCGTCCACCCACCTGAACAATCAATCTGTATTTGACAGTCATACATGGCTTAAATGATAGAGTCCATTTCACTGCTTCATTTCGTCAGTAGAACGGCAAAAATAAGAAATTGGGAGATCATTGTGCAATAATATATGGAAAAGTATATTCATAATGTACATGAATGACATTTGTATATTTCAGATTTTTAATTTTTTTGTGCAATAAGCCCGTGCCGTCTTGTAATTTGAAGAATTTCAGCCATGTTAATCTTATTGAAAATAACATGGCAGAGAAACATCCAAATATAAGAGGCCACACACTTTATAAGCCCAACTAGAAGCAATCCAAGATACACAAATGTCATTCATTTACATTATGAATATACTTTTCCATATATTATTGCACAATGGTCTCCCAATTTCTTATTTTTGCCGTTCTACTGACGAAATGAAGCAGTGAAATGGACTCTAGGTTTTGAGACATATTATGCCAGTTTTGAGAAAAGCTGAGGTCAGTTAAACTATATTATTCAAGGGAGACATGTCTTGCTTCTCCTAGAAATAACTACATATGTTTTAATCGATGGAAATAGTGTTGAGACAATTTGAAGGGTAAATATTGCATGGTTTGAAAAATACTTTATTTTCAACAGTGATGTCTCAAGCAGTGAGTTTAGACATTTTTCATGACACACACAGTTAACAGATCATGACCATGACAAGCCAAAAATAATTGTACATACATATTTTTATCTTTAACATTTTCACAAATAATCATGATTTTGCTATTATCTGAATTTTTGTGCATTAAACTGCAATAATAAAGAAAAGTGAATAAATAGAAAAATGTTCCAATTTTTGTTGGCCCAACCTGTCCATGTTGAAAGGACGATTCTCGGTTTGGAGAACGAAGTTCATCAATCTAAATGAGTATTATCCCTGCTTCGGACAAATTTAATTTTTTTACATAATATAGATTTGAATGTCCTCTTTTGAATAGTCATACTTTAATTTGGGTAATATTTCTAGATTTTTCGCAAAAAAATATTAGCGAAGTACACTGATGAACTTATTTCCCCAAATCGAGACTTGTATTTTATTGAATCGGTCTAATTGAGCGTTATCCCTGCTTCAGACCAATTTGTTATTTTTACATCTTGTAGATTTAAATGTCCTCTTTTGAATATTCATAGTTTAATTTGGGTAATATTTCTATATTTTTCATGAAAAAAATTATTAGCCCAGGAGACTGTTCTCCAAACCGAGAATCGTCCTTTGCTATTAAAAAATATTTGTTTACATCGGAAGTGCTATTCAAAATGGCCGATGTAGTAAATTAATTTGCATATTTGTTATTTCCCCTAGCTTTATTTCAACTTGACGACATACTGTGTTAAATTTTACAACATTTAATTGTACCTTTCACCTTAATTGAAATTTTATGATGTTTATTTTTGTGAAGAAATGTTTCCTCAAAATAATTTTGTGCATAGAATTTCACTGCAATTTCCACAGGACAGTACAGTGGTTATCGTACTGAAAGGTTTGATAATCGGTTAGATCCAAATGGGATTTATATGGAAAGCCTATGTAACTGCAGTCATGTGAGGCACTCTAGAAACATACTAGTATGCGATTGTAGAAAACAATTGGAAATGATTAGTTGACGATTTTTGATATATTGTCATTAGTATTCATTACAAATCAAAAATTTTTTTTTGACAAAATCAAGTTCAGTTTTGCTCTAAAATGATTATCATAGTATATACATTTTTTCTCAATAAATAAATAAATAAATAATAGGAAATGTATTACAAATTTACAACTTTCTTACACTCAATTTCATGTTCAAACAAAAGCCCATGGACCTTGAAATAACAGGAAATAATTCAATAACATTATTATATTCAGTTATTCAAGCGTGGCAGGAAACGTGGCATGGATATTGGCAGTGATCGTTGTGCTAGTCCTAGTGCTTCTTCTAATTTGTCTGTGCTGTACGCGCATGAAGAGAAGACAGAAAAATCAAAACACAAACTTTGGCAGTGTTGTCGCTACAATATCTGGATCGACTTGTAAGTATCTGATACCATATCATTTAATCAGCGTCACATATTTAATACCCCGGGTTTTAATACCCGGATGCCACGTTCCACTGAACGAAAATATGCTTACACATAAGAAAAAATTCAAATATTTGCAATTTATTTATTTTTAATCTAAGAGAAAATATAAATGTTTTTGATAATTTTAGATCCAGTTAATTTTACACACCCCGATGATTGGTTACCTCTCTTAAAGCAAGTATTCACCGTTGGTGAATTTGGTTTTAACCCAGCTGCAATTTCCCGGGGACTTAGTTTCCCAAGCGACCAGGAGGGAACGCTCGTTATGCAAACAGAAAATGTTCCTAACAGTCATCCCACTCATGGTGCTAGGGGCAAATTAGGATTTCTCCAAGGTAGTTATGGTGTATTGTTCCTTTGGTTATAATTAATATGTTACCAAACTCAAATACTGCAAGTCAAAGAAAAGACCCATATGTTTAAATGAACTAGATGATAATTTTGGACGGTTGATATGATTTTTCAAGATGTGGAGATTTTTTGAAAGGCCTGATTTACACACTCGTCCTTTAAGAGATTCTCAGTCATTGAACAGTATACCCCCCCCCCACTGTATATGATATATTTGTAGTTTTTGCACATAGCTTTAAAATTGCGTGTCACAAATGGTGCACTACCGAGGAAACATTGTACAGTAAAGTGTATGTCCTGATAATCTCACTTGAAATAAGGTACATGGATTGCTTACATCGATTGTATTCTAATTGTTTCTTTTTGTGAATTTATTTCAGGAAAACACGTGTGGGAGATCATATGGCCTCCAGAATGCCGAGGCTACAATGCAACCGTTGGCATAGGAACAGTCAATGCCGCCCTCTATAACAGTGAAAACGTCAGCCTTGTTGGGTTTAATCTTCATTCGTGGGGCTGGAACCTCACCTCTAAATGTATTATACACTGTAATCAAAATGATCGCTGGTATCCTGGGAATAATGACGCTAGCTTTGAAGTCCCTGAAAAGTAAGCAATTTATTCCGTATACCGGTAGTAAAATTGCTGCAGAATGATAAAAGTTCATACTTATGTCTTCACATGCATGTCGAATGCATCCATAATTTAATTGGAAATTGAACCCTCAGAAGATTTCCTGTATACAGTTGAAACATGCCATAAATAAGACTTTGGTTAATATTGTTTTATGCCAACAATAGATGTCGGGGTTTATTGGAAAGGTCTATAATCACATATCAATTAATACTATTTCCATATTAGATTCTTTGTTTACCTGGATATGGATGAAGGCATCCTGGGATTCGGGACACGTGACGAGTATTGGGGACCTGCAGTATGGGGACTGAAAGGTGGGAAACTACCTCTCTTTCCAATGGTCGGAATCTCATGTCCGGGCGGCCATGTACAAATGTTATATACAGGATCAGGTTGGTGTAGAATATGAATTTTCCGATTTTTCTTACGATTAATCATCATTCGATATAATTAGTTCAGAGACATATAAAACATACATGTTTCTGATTAGTTGAATGAATTCAATTGTGAGGGTCAAAATGGCAGAATTTCTGATTTCCTATGCAGACCTATTTCTATTAAACTGATTTTTAATTTTCGTTTTCTAGTACCTAATCACGAAGCTCAGCTTTCGAATGATGCATCACAGAAGTATGTCGCAAAGGCAGCTCAAGGAGTGACTGCATTTAGCAGTGATGGAACAGTATCAAATATTGCTCCGCCATCAACCAGCTCTACTTTTGGTGGATCAATGATGGCCAATCTCCGTCGATCTTTCAGAAGATTATCAAAAAGAACACGAAAACCAGGTAAACAAATTTCCTTATTAAATTATTTTAGCTTTTTCTGAAATAACATTTTCGCATCTTGAGGGATATACACAAAATAATTATGTGATCACATAACTCGCATGCAAATATAACAATTCATCGAGTACATAGTGATTGCATTTTTGTAAAGTTGTTCACTAAAAATGAATGTAATTATTGTTTGAATTATTCCAGCCAATTCGAGTCAGCAGACAGGACAACCACCGCATTTAGCTGAAACAGCGAGAGTTCAATACAATCCAAACACTGGAACACTGGACTATAACCAGAGGTTACCAACGCAAGCGTCACCTGGTGTGCAAACACAAAACATTGGTCACGTGACTCGTCAAAATCAACCACCAGGTGGCGCGAGTGGAAATATTCATCATGGTGCTAATTCCAATATGAACGGCAATAGCTCGTATCCTAAACTCTACCAGTATAATAATGGTTTGGGGGCACAGGATAACCCTTTACAATCAAGACCAATAGAACATCAATATCCGAATAGTCACCAAGCTGCAGCTGTACATTATCCTCAGCCCACACAGGCCACCGATCCACAGGGTTATACAACTCAGACACTCAACCCTGTCAGTCTAACTAGACCAGGGGGCTATACACACGGGCAGCAATCCCAAATTAATCTACAAACCGAATCTGGGACTTCGTATGCACCCCAGTATTCTGGAGATTCCCAATATAGCCCCCAGCAACATGCCATGAATATAACACCAACAAACCTCAACAGTGATAGGAATATGAGAATCGACAGACCACCAACTTATATATGATGAGAGTACTATGCCTATTGAATCTGGTATCTGAAGGATTGCGTATTGTATGCATCAATGTACATTGTATAAGTGGTTCTTTAATACTTGGATCTTAGTATGTATATCGAACGGAACTGCCAATTTAGTATAATGCCTGTAAATTTGCAAGCGCCATTCTGATACCCTTAGCATCTTTCTGTTCAACCAGAAAGGCTGAGAAGAAATGAGATGTCATGATGGCGAGCGCGGAGTTCCAGGTAACCCGTTCGTCTTACGTATAAATGTACCTTCAATTGGACACTAGAATGCTCACTACAAAAATAATTCAATACCTATTTATATAAGTCAGTACATTGGTCAATGTCCGTCACCAATAATCGCAATTTAGGGCCGATACAACTTCGATGAATCCTAGGATGGATCATAACATGTAAAGAAAGTAGTAGTCCGTTTCCAAGAAATCCAAGACGATCGTTAAAAGAAGAAAGTGACCTTTTCATGGTTACATGAATATGCAGTATTTCAACACGATTATATCATACTACAGATTGATCATACTTTTAAAGATGGTGTGGTACATAAATACTTTAAACAGACTAAACAAGAGACAACCCCCTTTTTACATCAGATCATAAACAAATTACACCGTTATAGAAACCGGACAACTCATAAACTAATTAACTCAGGCGTGAGACCACAGTTTTTAAGTTTCCCAGGTAGTATATGTACGGTTCCAAAGATGCATATTGAACTCAGACACTCAACCCTGTCAGTCTAACTACACCAGGGGGCTATACACATCATGGGCAGCAACGCCCACCCGCCTCTATCGCACAATCCCAAATTAATCTACAAACCGAATCTGGGAATTCGTATGCACCCCAGTATTCTGGAGATTCCCAATATAGCCCCCAGCAACATGCCATGAATATAACACCAACAAACCTCAACAGTGATAGGAATATGAGAATCGACAGACCACCAACTTATATATGATGAGAGTACTATGCCTATTGAATCTGGTATCTGAAGGATTGCGTATTGTATGCATCAATGTACATTGTATAAGTGGTTCTTTAATACTTGGATCTTAGTATGTATATCGAACGGAACTGCCAATTTAGTATAATGCCTGTAAATTTGCAAGCGCCATTCTGATACCCTTAGCATCTTTCTGTTCAACCAGAAAGGCTGAGAAGAAATGAGATGTCATGATGGCGAGCGCGGAGTTCCAGGTAACCCGTTCGTCTTACGTATAAATGTACCTTCAATTGGACACTAGAATGCTCACTACAAAAATAATTCAATACCTATTTATATAAGTCAGTACATTGGTCAATGTCCGTCACCAATAATCGCAATTTAGGGCCGATACAACTTCGATGAATCCTAGGATGGATCATAACATGTAAAGAAAGTAGTAGTCCGTTTCCAAGAAATCCAAGACGATCGTTAAAAGAAGAAAGTGACCTTTTCATGGTTACATGAATATGCAGTATTTCAACACGATTATATCATACTACAGATTGATCATACTTTTAAAGATGGTGTGGTACATAAATACTTTAAACAGACTAAACAAGAGACAACCCCCTTTTTACATCAGATCATAAACAAATTACACCGTTATAGAAACCGGACAACTCATAAACTAATTAACTCAGGCGTGAGACCACAGTTTTTAAGTTTCCCAGGTAGTATATGTACGGTTCCAAAGATGCATATTGAACTCAGACACTCAACCCTGTCAGTCTAACTACACCAGGGGGCTATACACATCATGGGCAGCAACGCCCACCCGCCTCTATCGCACAATCCCAAATTAATCTACAAACCGAATCTGGGAATTCGTATGCACCCCAGTATTCTGGAGATTCCCAATATAGCCCCCAGCAACATGCCATGAATATAACACCAACAAACCTCAACAGTGATAGGAATATGAGAATCGACAGACCACCAACTTATATATGATGAGAGTACTATGCCTATTGAATCTGGTATCTGAAGGATTGCGTATTGTATGCATCAATGTACATTGTATAAGTGGTTCTTTAATACTTGGATCTTAGTATGTATATCGAACGGAACTGCCAATTTAGTATAATGCCTGTAAATTTGCAAGCGCCATTCTGATACCCTTAGCATCTTTCTGTTCAACCAGAAAGGCTGAGAAGAAATGAGATGTCATGATGGCGAGCGCGGAGTTCCAGGTAACCCGTTCGTCTTACGTATAAATGTACCTTCAATTGGACACTAGAATGCTCACTACAAAAATAATTCAATACCTATTTATATAAGTCAGTACATTGGTCAATGTCCGTCACCAATAATCGCAATTTAGGGCCGATACAACTTCGATGAATCCTAGGATGGATCATAACATGTAAAGAAAGTAGTAGTCCGTTTCCAAGAAATCCAAGACGATCGTTAAAAGAAGAAAGTGACCTTTTCATGGTTACATGAATATGCAGTATTTCAACACGATTATATCATACTACAGATTGATCATACTTTTAAAGATGGTGTGGTACATAAATACTTTAAACAGACTAAACAAGAGACAACCCCCTTTTTACATCAGATCATAAACAAATTACACCGTTATAGAAACCGGACAACTCATAAACTAATTAACTCAGGCGTGAGACCACAGTTTTTAAGTTTCCCAGGTAGTATATGTACGGTTCCAAAGATGCATATTGAACTCAGACACTCAACCCTGTCAGTCTAACTACACCAGGGGGCTATACACATCATGGGCAGCAACGCCCACCCGCCTCTATCGCACAATCCCAAATTAATCTACAAACCGAATCTGGGACTTCGTATGCACCCCAGTATTCTGGAGATTCCCAATATAGCCCCCAGCAACATGCCATGAATATAACACCAACAAACCTCAACAGTGATAGGAATATGAGAATCGACAGACCACCAACTTATGATGAGAGTACTATGCCTATTGAATCTGGCATCTGAAGTATTGCTATTGTATGCATCAATGTACATTGTGTTTCCTTAATACCCGGATCTTAGTATGTGTATCGAACGGAAATCCCAATTTAGTATAATGCCTGTAAAGGATGAGTCTGGGAATGAGTCTGGGTTTCGACTTAGAAAATATTGAAAATTATAATGTCTGAAAAACCAATTCAATCACACATATTATTAAACTTCAATATCTTATCCTTCTTCCGAGAGTACAAAAATATCAATTTGTATCACAATTAATGAAGAATATTGGCATCAAAGACAGTGCATATCACTTTGTCAGAATTGAAAAAAAAATAAATGGCAAATATTAAATGAATTATTTATACAAAAAGTTTGAAACATATCCTCCAAAACATTGCTTACTTTCTTTGTATAGACATTGAATGGTATTTCTGGATAAGTGAATTGGTTTTTATCTGGGTAATCAAGGGATTATAGTCACTCAAAGGTACTGAACATCCAGTTTTGAGACTTCAATTGTGTTGATGAAGTTACACATATTTCAATCAAATTCATGCTGAGCACAACATTTTGGTTTCAATTTTATTATCTCTATACATGACCCTGGTGATGAAGAGTCAGAATCAGTCAAAAAACATAAACCGGAAAACTGTGCTCATTGTGAAAACTAAAAGTGAAGCAACTTTTTTTCCTGATATTTCTTACATCAAATGGCAGCCATCTTGTTTTCCCCCTTCAAATTAAACTGGCGGGAAATTCAAAAATTTGAAAAAAATTTTAATCCTTAAATATATTTCAAAAATATGATTTTCTTCATGGGTCTTTAGTTATTTCATCTTTGTATGTCATACATGTTGTCATTGGTGTTTTTTTCTATGATAATGATTATTTTTTTGTTTGTTAAGATACTTATTCCGACTCTCAGCAGGGGGTTAATTATGCATCAAAACTTGTGAAAAAGTAAATATACTCATCAAATATAACTAGGACAGTAATAAAAAACATATTTCACATATATTTGACTGAGGGACCAAAAGGGCATATATCCGGACACATCCTTTGCAAGCGCCATTCAGATACTCATAGCATCTTTCTGTTCTACCAGAAAGGCTGAGAAGAAATGAGATGTCATGGTTTCATGATGGCGAGCGCGGAGTTCCAGGTAACCCGTTCGTCTTACGTATAAATGTACCTTCAATTGGACACTAGAATGCTCACTACAAAAATAATTCAATACCTATTTATAGAAGTCAGTACATCGCTCAGTGACCATCACCAATAATCGCAATTTATGGCCGATATAACTTCGATGAATCATAGGATGGATCATATTAACATGTAAAGAAAGTTCCCAAGAAATCCAAGACAACTGTTAAAAGTGACCTTTTCATGGTTTCATGAATATGCAGTTTTCACCACGATTATATCATACTACAGATTGATCATACTTTTAAAGATGGTGTGGTACATATAAATCATAAATATTTTAAACAGACTAAACAAGACACTCTTAAAAATTATTACTTGGATTTCTTTATATTGAGAAATTGTACTACTCATTTTAAGTCAAAATTACTTAAATAATCTTGAACTACTGAATCATTTTTAAGTAATTTTTAAATAATTCATTTATGGTGAATTTACTAATGCAAGGAGAGAAATTGAAATACTTACTGTAGTAATTGTAATACTCATTTACATAATTAAGCAATTAAAAAACTCAAAATGACAATATAAGTTAAACCTAAGTAAAATGAAGTAAAACTAAGTATTTAACTTAAAGTAATTTTTATACTTTGGAAATACTTAGGAAATACTCAAGTTATTCATTTTTAAGAGTGGAGACAAACCACTTTTTACATCAGATCATGATCAATTTATAGGGTTAAAGAAACCGAACAACTCATTAGATAATTAACCCAGGCGTGAGACCACAGTTTTGAAGTTGTCCAGGTAGAATATGTACGGTTCCAAAGATGCATATCATAAATTGGGAGCACGTGTACTTGGAATAGACTAGATGATGAGAACGAAGTCTGGCCACTGTTCGAAAAGTGAAAATAACAAAAGTATTATCATCAAGTTCAATCAAGCCTCTGTACCCCTCTTCTCTAGCTCTTTATGTTAGAAGAGGAATGAGGTGCTATCCTTTGCATTCGTTCGACTTCACGCCTTCTTAAAAGAGAGCTTTGTCTTCGGTTTATAACTAGACTCTGCGCGCAGGGTAATGAGGTGCTGGGTTATGCTGACTTTAAATTGTAGAATTGTACCTGCAAAGTGACACGTCTTTTCGTTTCAAGTATTAAACTGCATATGTCAACTGTTGTTAAACTGTCTATACTAAAAGCAACAATTGAAGCATTTGGGTCATTAAATTATGGCCTCCACCTGTGTGTTGGAGTGCTCTCCTTAAAGTTGTTATCATTTCAGTCAATACTAATGAGATGCATGTCAATTACAATGAATTGATTGGTCTCTTACTTATATTTATTGACATTTTGCACTTGGATTGAATAAGAGCATATATTTTTGTAAAATAAAACATGAATTTATTTCTAAATAATTGATTCACTTGTATTTTCATTTGTCATTTTACCATCAATTAGTCCAGTCTGACTGTTCTTATTGCAGTATTGATCGTAGTAAGTTTCGCTCCGCATTTTAGCGTTGATACCCCTGCATCTGCAAGAAAGTAGTTCCTTGAATGGCTTCCTAAATTCCCTGTTACATATGACGTAGATAACTGGATTGAAGAGGCTATTCAAATATCCCAACCACTGAACAAACCCGTTCACCCACCGTGGAATACACGTCTGTGGGCATTCACAAAATGCCCGGATGACCGCGCAAATAAAAAATGGAAGCCAGCAGACGATAAACGTTCCCATAATGACTCCGAGAGTTTTGATACGTTTCATGTTCGTTTTATCCGTTTTAGTGACTACAGATTTGTTACTACAAATCTTATCTGCTATAATATATATCCTGATATACACTGTAAGCATTATAATTAACGGTAAGTAAAAAGCAACCCCTGTTGCATATACTTGATATCCTAAATCCTGACTAATAAGACAAACGCCATGTTCAATTAAGGCTCTATCAGCGTCACTTTTCCAACCGAATATAGGAGGAATTGAAATTAATATCGATAAGGCCCACGTGACCGTTATGATCCATCGTATTGTCTTCTTGGTTCGTTTCGGACCATACCAAAATGGATGCTCGACTAAGAAATAACGGTCAAGACTTATAGCACATAAGTTCAGAATCGATGCGGTACACAACAGCACATCAAGTAGTGTGTAAATATCACATATAACTACCCCGAATATCCAGACCCCCATAAGTTCATTGATGAGGGCCAACGGCATGACGCAAACCGCAACAAGTAAATCAGATACTGCCAGAGAAACAAGAAGAGTGTTGTGCAATTGTTTCCTTAGTTTCTTTACCTTTCCTACCGCCACACACACTAATGTATTCCCAATGACAGTTCCGAGAATTAACACAACAGTACATATTGTTATGATTATAGTTTCCCATAATTTGTATGGAGGATTCACGTCGTCTGTGTAACATGCGTTTTCTGATACGTTGCTTGTGGGGTGGTTTGGTCTACATGTCAGATTGTGGGTCCCTTCTCTCGAATAATCTAAACTGTCGTATTCATTGTTAATACTTGGTGTTACCCCTAGATATTCCATGGCATCCTCCAAGGATGTAAATTCCACCTTTTGACTGCTTTTAATACAAAACTGAAAATCACTCCTGAGTTCAGTATAGTTTAAATTCAAATGTATCCAGGTCGTGATGATTTCTCAATGATGTCGGTCGAATGTGCTAAATCCGTTCGATGTTTTGTTCAGAAAGGCGCATCTAAACCTCGATGACTCTGTAATACGTATTACAATGTTTATAAAAAGCAATGATTCATTAATATCGAAACGAGTATTTCCTGGTAGTCATATTCATATCAAAAACTAGTCTCGACTAAGTTTCGATTTCAAAACATACATTGGATAATCAGTAAATCACGAAATCCACTAAACTTAGGCCTGCGTCATCAATTTGTGTTCATTGTCCGGTTTTAAGACTTCTAATTGGTTATTACGTATCTAAAGCCATGTTTTGGACTTCTTATCCTAAAGAATATTTGTCCTATTGAAGCACTAGTATAGGTAGTTTGTAAGCTGTTTGTACGAAATCCGAAGTCAAGAAAATACATTATAGAGTGATGTTGACTCTTACGATTTATTCCTCTTGAACATTCAACGCGAGATACTCTTACTAAACCAATTAAGCAACGTTTTGAGTAATGTTTACCTAAATGCTCATGAAAAGGAAATAAAATAGAATAATTTTCTACTTGGTTGGCAAGCTATAAATGAAAGTATTCCATTCAGACTATAGAGTTATTTTATTGCCTTGTTGATTATACTTCAAGGATAGTACCTTCATTGAAAATGTTTTAACAAATTTTTATAAGGCGAATCAGGCCAAAATAATCAGGTGACATACTTATATACATGTAGAACATGTACTTCAAACTACAGACTTCGCCACACGTGACCCCTGATTTTTTTGACGTGTACGAATAAATCGTATATATCTGATAAATTGTCAAAGTCAATAAAATGTTGAACGTCCCGCTGATGGGCGAAATTGAGGAGGGGGTAGAGTGAAAAATAATATTTTTTGAAAACGAAACCTTGATTTTTTGGGTATTTCTGTATTGGTAATTTATATATGTTCAATAGTAAAACCCAGAGAACATGTGAAGAAGGTGACGCATATAACAATGTACCTTTTAGAGTTCACGTACAATCTAAATGAAGGCAATACTGAAGCTAGAAAGTAGAAATGCATGCATTTTCATTCCAGTAACTCATTTCACTATTATTTAATTTTCAATAATAATTGTCTTTTGAATTTTTACGAATCATTGATAGATGGTATGGTTTTTGTTTGTTTTGAGGTTACCTCGATCTTATATAACATACAAGGGAGGGAAGTTGAAAAACATGTATTTACCTTTTAAGTTTGAAAGGCCTTATTCAAAAACGTTTAAACAAACCATGCGGCAAGAGCCGTGGCACCTGAACTTGTAACACCTCCATGGGCAAAATAACATTTACAATAAGTTAAAAAATACTGAATAAGTATAGCCATTGTTTATTGTTGCTCTTTAAACTACAGCTAAAAAGCTTTCTGAGTGGGTACATTCTCTATACTAATTTTGACAACTTTCAGAAATTCTTAGAATATATTATTCAATAGTCGACGTTTCATAGCATACTGTGTTACTGTATACATAATCATATACATAATCAACCTTTCTTACCTCAGAAACGAAATACAAGTACAAGTGTAGTTATTCAGAAAACAGAAAAATGCAAAATAACACTAATATTGTGTTTAGAAACGCCCCCCTGGCCATATAATTTATTTCAGAATAAAGTAGTACTTCACCATTCAGATAACTTTTCAAGTGATTTTGGGCCAAAATTGTGAACCTCCATGGAAGTTTTTGAAAAGTGCACCCTCCTTGGCAAAACCTGGTTGTATTATTCAACTCCACGACACATTTTCAACAAAAAGGCTGAAGTTATCACCAAAACATCTCAAACCCAAATATCTAAACCGGTGGGTGAAAGGAACCATACGCAAGAGGCAGCCTACCAACCAATCTTAGCATGAAAATTCGAAACTATACTTGACTGAGATCCGAAATTTAAAAGGAAATAATAGATCTAGTAACGATTCAAAACTTCAAAACGTTTGGCCATTTCTAAGACGCAAGACAAGAATGCATTCTGGGATTCCTCCACTAAGGATTTGACCAAACGATAAACGAATCGATGTCAAAGAAAGGCAACGACATGCCCACAAACTGCACAATTCAAAACACTTTAGATATAATTTGTCAATGTACCACCGTTACCAGAAATAATTACGGAATGATAAAGATGTAGTTGAATGAGTTATTTAATAATTTTCAAACATTTTATTTCAGGTGAAGATGGCCTTATTGTATGGTTTGTCAATGTCTGAATCTTAAATATTTTTTGTAACAATAGTTTAGAAAGGAGCATGTGGGTTATCGCAAACAATTTCGGAAGGTTATATCTTGAATTATGACTATTTTCAGACAATGAAGACAGGTTTATCTTTTAGGTCAATTCATTATCTCAAGGAAAATTATATACAGTAATAATAAATTCAAACAAATTCGGAGATATTTAACTAGCAATCAACCCATCAACACACTTTTTCAAAGATGTTGACCCCATTTTCACCAAAAATGCAATCATTTTTTCCAGTGTTTAATGCATTACTATTCTTTATTTTGATGTAATAAATAGTTCTTGAAAGAAAAACTTAATTGCTTTAAGATAAGTGTTCCCCATGTTTTTTCTCCATTGAAAAATCTCATGCTATCCATTGGTTTCAGTTCATTTTGGTCATCCAAATTCAATATCTTAAGTCTGATTAACTAAATTATCATTATATATACTTTTCTTGAAGATAATGAATGGATCCAAAAGATACACCCATGTTCATGATCAGAAAATATTCATAATTCAAGTTAGAATCGTTTGAAATTGTTTGCGATAACCTACATGCTCCTTTATACGTTTTTTAACATAAAATTACTTATGTTTTTTAAGACGCCAAACATAAACAGGCTAAAGGATTCCAAGGAACTCCCGTTTTCCAAACTTTTGGAGGCATAACTTACGTTTGAAAAGAGCCGAGGTGTGTCGAAAGGTATCCGCTTTATCCCTAGATCCTCTACGTATGAACGGATGGATGGAGGCATTGTTTAAACTCCCCGTGGATGTTTGTTATATGCAGCTGCATATATTTGTGTTCCATATACAGTTATTGCCTGCATTCTGTCAGTGATGATTACTGGTTATAACATGCAATTCGAAGCAAATAAGCACTAGAATTGCTCGTTATTTGCAAGCAATATTCTTGATTTTATACAGTGTCTTTTGTTTGAGAAGATGATTTCAAAGACATGTACACATGGTTACCAAATACGATGAGATAGCTGAAAATGAATGAAAACCAGTGCTGCGATCTTTTATTCAGATTTTGACTTCCATATTAAGATCTTCGAAAGTGACTTTATTTCATGATTTATCAAAAAGCTTTGGTTGAATCTGTTTAAAACTTGATTGATTTATCATGTGATGACCATTTCAACATACTTATTATTTGATTTATCATCAACATTTTGGTTGTTAACTGATAAACCAAGGTTTTTGGAGATCTCTTAAAATCCCACGAAAAACGAGATTTAGTGAGATTTCAAAAGCTATGGAAACTGAAATTAAGTAATTCTCAAGACCGTCTACTTCCCCACGCAGTATTGAATGCAAACCAAAATAATGTAAACACTTTGTTTTGATTCTTCCGTAAAGTTCTATGAATATTTTCAATACTCCTCCAACAGTTGTAAATGTAAGCACTTCTTCAAACAATACTAGAATAGTACCCATGTTACAGATGATACATTCATTACACTCTTATTCTCTTTAGAACTTATTAAAGTGTCACATTTTCTCGCATATTACTTGTAAACGTTCAAGTTTCAGGTTATATTTTGTGCATCAGTCCTGGTTTTTCCATTTTTATTGATCTTTTTCCATTTTTAAATTGACCTACCTAGCATTTTATGCATGCCATTGAACAAAGATTGGCGTGGAATTGGATAAAATAGCTAACCTAGTTGAACGGACGACACGTTGAAAATAGCAAAATTCTATTTAACGTTCAATAACTAAACATTTGACATTCGCATCGAGCTATATTAAAGTATAGGGGCGATTTATATGGATGCATTGACAGTACAGATATAGGGTAAGAAACTTTTCAGCACTTCTCTACGTTCTAATTATTAAGTTCGTCTTTAGAGCCCTTTAGTTTGCAATATTTCCTCTTCTAACGTTTTGAGATTACTTCAAGAAACTAGAAAAATGTCGAATCTTTGTGGTAAATTGTAAATCACATAAATCGCAGTGTAAATATATATGTATATACGTGTTCCTGAGGTCACCACTCTATAGGTGATCCTGAATGAAACATTGCAAAAAATCAAAATACAAACATGAGTGAATTCGAAAACTCGAAGGCATAAAGGTGTACAACACATGCAACACTCCTTTGATTTACATGCATCCAATCCTCGTATTTTTATAGTTCTACACTTCACCAACCCCAAATAATATGTATCAGTAAATAGTTGAGTGTACTAACTTTTGTAAATATGATCAGAATTTACATATTTTCAGCAGGCCCAAGAAAGTTTTAAACAGTACTTTTTACGAACGTTATTAAAATACCGGAAATGTCCGAAGAACCAGCTCAAGTGGCAGGCGAGGATGTACGACTAGATGTACCTTCTGGGAGGGTCGTAGACGTGAAAGATCGGGACCCCAACCAAATCAATTCGCATTTGAGGGTAAGTTGATAAAAACGTCATTTTGTTAAAATAGCTGGCTAGCCAAAACCACCCCAAAACAAATCACGTTAGGTAAATATTCGAAAAAATGTAAACGAGAACAGTAGTATTGCCTACAGTACGAATGCATATACAAGTAGTCTGACTTCAAGACTTGGGATCCCCCTCCATTATCTACTTTAACAACAGTGTTGTGTTGGTGGTAAAGTAGATATGGGGGGGAGGTCCATCATCCTTCTTCAAAGGACTTCATTTAGGCTAAATTATTATGGAAAGAAGTGAAATACCCTTGGACCAGGGATGGGGGTCCATAGTCTTGAAGCAACACTATGCATGCAGCAGAATCATTGATTGTCATGCAGGATGGAATACAATCGTAATCGGGTAGCTTTATAGCTCACAACATGTAAATATGTGGTAGTGGTATATGGACCTTATCCTTTGCCAAGTAGAGTTTCAGGGAGATAAGTTGTTAAGATATATCCCGTATCCTGATTTTGAGGTTTCCATATCCTGAACCTCCATATCTCAAAGAAAAAAATAAAAAAAAACTGAAAAAATAAAAAATAGAAAAAATTGGAAAAATTGAAAAAAATCAGAAAAATGAGAAAAAATTGAAAAAATAAAAAAAATTGAAAGAAAATTAGAAAACTCTACTTGGTATAGGATAAAGCAGTTATGTACGGTCGGTTTGGATATTGGGTTCATCCCTCGTGAGATACAATGGGGTAGGTTGCGACTAATTTACTTGTTTGGGAAATATTGAAATGTTGAAAAATGACAGATGGAAAACTAAAACATGCATTAACCACCTCCCCAAGCTATTTTTTTAGTTTCTTATCAGACATTGATATTTTGACTATGCATATCTCCCTCTGGATAAACCCCATATCCAAAACCTCCCAGTACATAACCCTTATTTATCCATATGCCCCTACTCGGGTAGATCATAGACAGAAAATGTTGTACATATTTATAGTTGATAATAAGCCTAAATAAGGTGCATTTCTTATCCATCATTTCTTTGAATAAGAACTCATTCAAGAATCTTCAAGCCCTTACGTCACAAATAGAAACTGCGACTTTTGTATGATCAGTGGCTCGGCCACTGCCCTAATGGGGTTTCCAGGTGTTACACGCAGTACATGTACCAAGTATGCTATACATGCGCATGGATATGTATGGAGTATTAGTTTTGGGATTATTTCCACCAAATGTATATTTGTATATTGTGTTGTTTGAATAGATTTGCTTCCATATGCATTGGTTACTGTAAACGTTCTAATAATGATGGGAAATCATATGGGCCCGGGGGGTTCAATCTAAGTAATTTGGGTCTAGGTATGTGCAGCACGGGCAATTTTTGCTTTGGGCATAAATCATGGAACTTGGCCAATCTGAGAGAAAAAAACATTGTTGAAGAGAGAACCCTTTTAAGTCAAAAATCAGTTTTTCTACAAAAAATGGTAATAACTTGATTAAATCAGTTGGCAAGGTGTGGGGCAAATCACTGGAGAAGTGGATTTTGTAGTCAATATACCAATATTTCGGGAAATTTAGTCCCTTTTATAAGTCTGAGAGAAACTATACAGGGAAATTGACATGGAAAATTGCTCAAAAAGGCGAGGCACATAGGTATTAAGAGTTATATTAGAGTGAAACCCCCGGGCTTATGGGAAATTTACTTAATTCTGCAGAGTCAAATCCTGGGCTAGACATCTATTGGCTGTTTATAGAGTAATTTCAACAAATATGCTTTGCTAAACTTTGTATTGTGGAACCTAGTTCAATCCACATACATTGGATGCTGATGTCGCTCCCTTATTTAGACGAACCCAGAACAGTAGAAGTGACGAGTGTATGCTCTCTGAATATTATGCGCTGTGCGAAAAAATGAATTGCGAAATGACAAACACGAATTCATAGCGAAGGAAACAGTTGAAAATCTAAAAATTAATGTACTTTTCTTTTCAGGTTACATTTTCTGAAATCTTTGCTGAACCTGATCCTACAATTTACAGTTTTGATCAGATCTGGGTACTTTCTTTTAAAGTATTTACAACCGTTAAACTCTGGTGGTACAGAATCATCACGCTGATATTTGCCATACCTTGCGCATGTATCTGGGGAATACATTTTGCTTGTCTCTCGTTCTGCTACATTTGGGTGAGTAGACACTTTCATTGTACACCCTCTCAATAAGTTTGGCAACCCTACTAACCATTTAGGACTGAATTTTAAAGCCTGTGAATTCTTGGTGGCTTAATTGAGCTCCTTTCTTTCTAATCTTTTTCCATCACTGCTCATCGAGGTCTTGATTCAGAGTAACAGACCTTTTGTAAAGTTTGAGGAGCATATTGTTACAGTGAGAATTTCTGTTTACCAAACTTAGGGGGTGTACATATTTTAATTGGAGTTACGATTAAGATTGTCATATAAACGTGTTTACTTTGTCTGTAGTAGCCCGGACAGAATTGTTCAAGGGTCACTTTTTCTTTAATAACTTTTTTAATTTTCAGTATTATCAAAATCTGATTACATATTTGAAAACTAGAGTAAAATGCTGACATACATATATCTCTTAATTTATTGATATTATAGGCGTTCAAAGTACGACAGATGCAAATACATAATTCATAATTTTGCCTGATATTTGTTCAAAATGGCGGCATATTTCGTGAATTTGAATGTTCAGTTGAAAGTTAATTTTGAAAGATTGTCATAGACCTACAGGGTCGTGCTGCCAACGTTACAATCCTGATGTAATACAGCAACTGACCAAACATCAAACACAAGAAGTCAACTCCCCCAAGGGTCATGAACTCAACTCTATTGAAATGTTCCTGGTTGTGTTCAAGAGGATGTGAAAAGGGGGTGAAAAGGTGGCGCCCCAATATGCGGGATGTTTATGAAATATTTTCTAATTTACCATTGATATCCTCGATTTCGATGAGCTTTATAAGTTATAAGTTACATACGCAAATTATTTCACATTTACAAGTTACCCTGTGTTACGCGGTAAACATGATACAAATATATGCCATATTCTACAACGAATATGACATATTCACTTGCGTTCGTGGAGCTTATGAGTGATTTTTTAACCAAATCTACAGTCGACAAAGATTGAACTCAAAAGCTATAAAATCACAAGTATTAACGTACTGTTGTATTGGGAATCACGATTTACATATTTCTGATACTTTCAGAAGTATCACTCAGCAATTTACTATTTTTATTTACCACAATTTCACTATGTGGATGTTATTGTTCAACTGATAACTGAAACAAACAGAACGCATCAACATCTTGAAAAAAGCTCCTCAATGTAGTTAAATAGTCTTAAAGTAAATAGTTTACTAAGTATTTCATGACATAACATATTGGAACATACAAAACTGTGCACTATGAAGCGGTGGCCGGTCTCAATAAATCATGGATTTTTAAATTACAAATTATTATTTTATTCTAGGAACATTTGTTCTCGTTTGAAAATTGTGTCGTCATACGTTTTTTAAAATTTCGTATGGTATATCTTCAGGTGTGTATTCCTACTCTGAAGGCATGGTTCATTGAACTCGTCTGTGCTAAACAGTGGTTCAATGCATGGATGCAGGCGTTCGTCGCGCCAGGATGGAGGGCAGTTGGCAGTGTATTCTCCTATATCAGGGTCGCTACGGTGGGCGGAGAGGACATTGACACTCATGAATTTGACAGAGTGTCATATGCACATAAAGATCACAAGCGCCTCGTATAGGCAAATATGGGTTATGAATATGTTTTGTGCTATAATGGCAAGCACGCCGGCGAATAAAGAGGGGGGGGGGGGCGTAGAAGAGAAAATAAAAAGCCATTTTGAAATTGAGGACAATTTTGGAAATAGAGGACGATTTTTCAAATTGTTTCAAAAGAAAACTTCAAAAGATCATTTTAGGCTCACAATAGGATTTTCATGTTTATAGCTTGGCTATATGATACGATGTGATGCAACTTTAAGAAATAAAATTATGGGTTACGTACTTGATCAACTCAACCCATACCAATATGGAATGGTATGGTTCAAGTAGTGCCACTTTATTTACTGTGTCGGATCATACCTACATGTACGAGTCCTTTTGTACATGTTACTTATAGACTTGCATACGGTTCAACCTATTGACATTGTTTTAGCATTTACAATACCTAAGATATACGTAGATAAACGTTGTGTACTTTTTAATATTTTTTATTTTCATGTCCTTTCACGCTGTATCATTCTTTATTGGAAATTTTAAAGCAAGTACTTACGTACACATAATGCACGAGAGTGGAGCCCTAGTACATTATCAGGATGGGTTAGTACATGCATGAATGCTTTTAAATGCAATAAAGAACGACACATCTCTCTTCATTGCAATTCAAATACACTATAACTCCTTTATAAAACAAGACATTGTCCAGTTCTTTATAAAATCACGATGCACCGTGATGACCTCATTTTCTCACCAATAATGGCACTGCTCTGTTCATTATGAAACCATAATGCACCGTATAATAATGTTTGACCATACCTTGAATAAGTGCACAGAATATGCAACAATCAATTAAACAGTCAATAAAATCACAACATTTTTTATATTTGAAATTTATTTTTCATCTCTTTTTTTAAATCTTATATTACAATGTTTCTTTCTATTTTAAAATTTTGTAAAATATTATTGTGTTGGTACATTTTCATCTATTGTTTGTGCATTGCCCACTTCTATCACAATACTCTTGTAAAATATTATTGTGTTGGTACATTTTCAACTATTGTTTGTGCATTAGTAGATTGCCCACTTCCTTCACAATACTCTTGTAAAATATTATTGTGTTGGTACATTTTCAACTATTGTTTGTGCATTGCCCACTTCTATCACAGTAGTACTCTGCTCCTTACCTAAAATTTAAAGATAGCTTGCTCATCTCAAATCGTTTCTTATGAATCCCATGTTGGGCGTGGTACTAACTTGCAATTTATGAATCTGTGTGTCAAATCATCTATTCTATTTTCATTATAAAAGTTAAAATTGTGTGTCTCCTAATCCATTTTTCCATTCATGATCTCAACATGACACAATAACATCTTGTGGTGTTTGAATGAGCGGGGTTAACTGCAAAGTGCCCCAATGCACGCTTTTTTGCACAGTCTATCACAGAGATCCATTATATAAAGTACTTCCACTACCACGATTTATATTCCTGCTAGAAATTGGAGCATTGGAAGGTGGACTGGTTCAACGAAAAAAAGAAACTGGTTGGCGAAATTCTGGCTATACGAGTAGAATGAATGGGTCATGTTCTATTTTTGGTCAAAGTGATGTAAAAGTAAGAACATTGAAATTACAAGTTGTTGGCTTAATCTGCCAATTTGCTGTCGTCCCTACCATAAATAAGATCTCAGAATAGTTTTCCCTGGACAGGCACATTTTCTTGATGCTCAAACAGTTTTTCTCCATCTAACTTCAATTGTCTTATGTATGGTAATAATTCCAGAATACAGTATTTCGATCTGTATATTTTCATTTAGATCTGTTATGGACAGATATTTACTCGTCTCATTTGGTGTAGTAATTTGAGATACCACATGGCCAGATAGCGATGAGGCGTCAGATGGAACTCGCACGGCACGTGGTACCACAGTTTAGATTCAAAATGTAACATAACCGGCAACTCCACCATGTGGCATTCTATTTTTTCATTATATTTACAAACTAAGTAATTTTGAATCAATGCATCTCCACCAAAAATATAAAAAAATATATATGCATTCTTAAAAAAGTCACCAAATAAAAAAGTTTTTTTGGGCTCATCCTGATACACAATGTGAATTCGAAGTTACAATGTTGGGAGAATATTTGTCTGAGAGCTTTTTTTGCAAAAAGTATAAATAATAGCGCAAATAATGGCTTGCTTTTTTACAGACATACATGTCGTAAATATACAATGTGAGCGTCCCTATAAATTTTGTTTTTTAACGTTTTTGGATTCCAATTTGTGCCATCTATGAAAAACAAAATCAAGAGTTGAAAAACTGCTATTTTTAAGAACTTATTGATCGACATCGAAATTTAAAGAAAGAGTTGCAATAAGTAGACTAGGCCCTACATAAGTTAAAAAATTGCAAAACTATTCAGCAGTTTCGAGGTGCCTTTGAAAATTTCGTTCCTCTTAAAATTTTGGATGAACCTTTGTCGAATTTTGGGAACACACATACAATAGTCAATTATCTTAGTATCTGCCAAGTCCTTATTTAGAAAAATATTATTTGGTTGCTTTTGCAACGCTCTGATTGGTACCGCTGACATAACAGTCCCCTAATTTTACTACGATTTGGTTGCATTCCCTATAACCTTAAGCTTGTTAAATCCATTTTGCTGTGTTATATTCATTATTGAACCATTGTTTTTGTCGACTAATCTAGTATCATTTGCATTACCCTCCACACCAGTCGTGCTAGCGTCTTGCCTAGTTGATGTTTTTATTAATGAAATAGTTTTGAAGTTCGATAGCATCCATTCAAAGTCTTGTGCCGATAATATCCTTGTCCTATTTAAATTGTTTTCCCCCATAGCACTGATGACCATACTTTTGGTGTACAATTGCTTGTGTGACGTCACAATAAGGGGATTTCCGTCTTGGAATGTAACAACTTTTTCGTCTTTGGATTTAACTTTATTACTTGGTATTTGGTCAATGAGTTTTTCTATGTTTGTTTTCGAAACGGTTTTACGTTGAAGTTTTGGAGGGTCTATTTTTGTGTGATATGTCTTCGTATGCCACGTTAGAATCTGCAACGAAGAATCATTAATCATCATTATTACCACCTTGCAGGGCCTGTTCTAGGGGTTTTAGTACTAGTTGAGAAGGCATTTAAATTGCTGTATTACATACCTAGCGAAGCATTTGTATGGAAGTCAATGGGAAAGTTAGCGAGCTATATCCACCGATATTGCCCGATTACCCCGATATAGCCCGCTTACCTCGTTTTGATATTAGATTTCTTTAATAACCATGATAATATCATGACGTCACGTCATTGATACAAAGTAACCATGGGAACAAAGGCATGTAATACATCAGTTATGTCACTATGACGTGAAATATGCCTTCGTTCTTGCCCAAATATAGAGCCTCCCAAGGTCGGCCTATATTGGGAGAACTCAGGCATATTTCACGTCATAGTGACATAACCTCTAAATATTGACGTGAGCAATATTGTGTCGGGCGTTAATGACTTTAGTCGGGCAATAATGACATTATCCGCCCGGCTATGTTTCCCGGGAAAAGTGATATCGTTCAGTGCGTAAGATTTTCTATTTCAAATTTGCTATTTGAGCCCTGGGCATTAACGGTGGTAATACTAGTAATAACGTCATTTCTGCGGGCAAAATAGTGAAATATTGGACCTTGAGCCTGTGGCCCCTGGTCCAATATTTCACTATATTGCCCTTTGAAATGACGTTATTAAGTACTATTAACAGATAATTCCTTCTTTATGATATCATAATTTTAAATTATATCCATATATTTTATAAACTAAAGCATGCTGGGTATTATGTTCAAATAGCACCACACACACGAAAATCCGCACGATTGTTTTCGTACAGCGCAGTGTCTCACCCTATATACAGACTGTGCTATACGAAAACAAGCGATACAGATATTATGTGCGCAAGGTTCGGATATTAACGGTCATTTTGAATTTGTGATATTTCATAAACTAAGGGATGTTGGGTACTCAATTATAGTCATTCATTTGAAGAGGTAATCAAAGAGAAATTTTGTATATAAATATATTAGAATTAGTTGAACTCGCAAGCTTATTAGTTTTACTTTGTATTTTTTATTTTTTTTAACGACGCACTAAGCATTCATCCTTGCCTTGCTCCGTAGCAAATAATTTGAAACTGCTGCTTTATAACACAGTTTACAGCCTTCATTCAGTATTATAACACAGTTTACAGCCTTCATTCAGTATTATAACACAGTTTACAGCCTTCATTCAGTATTGGTGATCGAGATGACCAATCGATATAAATTATTTTTGCATTTGCTTGTTTAGAGTTAGCATATTTTAGTTTAATGTTTCCCATTTTGCTCGACTTCGTCTCTTCCAATACAGAATTTCTTGAGCAGAATATATCCTGTATTGCACTTCAAATCATTCAATGACTCATAATATTGAGTACCCAACTTACCTTAGTTGGAGAAATATCACGACATCAAATAAAAAATGACAGTTAATATCCGCACCCTGTGCACATGATATCCGCACCAATTGTTTTCGTATGGCACAGTTTGCATAGAGTGAGTCTGCTTAGAGTGAACTAGGCAAGTTACATCATTTAACTTCTGCTGAAATAGCGATATTTTCCCTAACAAGATACTTACCTTAGAACAGTTCCATGCGAGTGGTTCTAAGTCTTGCTTTTCGATATGTAACTCTTTGAGAAATATATCCTCTTGGTAGCCTGGGTTCACCTTTCGGTAAAACAATGGCGCCCCTTTTTGTTGCCAGAAATCTATATTTACTGCAAATCCAGCCATATCCAATGGAAACGCCCGGTTTGCTGTAATTGCAAGATAATTATATACCATTCCTGATTACAGAGCCATACAGAGTTTAGTTTACTTCGTGAACATATAAGTTACAGAGCTTCAAAGTCATTTTTGAAAATCATTTTCGCCTCCTGTGTTATTTCAATGGGAAAGGCGAAATAGTAAAGTTTCCATATAGCTTTTGAAATCTCAGTAAATCTCGTCGTTTTTCGTGAGATTTTAAGAGATTTGAATAGTAGACCTCTAATGACTTACTTTGCCTTCTTTTAAATGGTATATTTGAATTCAGTGAACTGTTTTCTACAAGAATATCTTTGATTTATACAGTTATGTTATTTAAATCATTTTCCGTGACTTGAAATAAATATCATGAAATAAAGTCACTTTTCGAAGACCTTAATATGGAAGTCAATGGAAGTCTTACCCAAGAAAAAATCTGAATAAAAGATGGCAGCACTGGTTTTCATTCATTTTCCAGCTATTAAGAAAATATCTTATTATTTGACTATGACCCATAATTTTGTTGAAGGTTTTTAAAGAAAGATATCATTTTTCGTAAAATAAAGTTCAAACTAAAATTTCAAATCCAAAGGCAACGTACTTAAGTTATACATTTTTACGAGAAATATTTTATTCTTGACAGATTATGCAAATACGAATAACGAATTCAAACATAAAAAGGGTTCAACACGTATAACAGAAATAGAACCAAATGGCTATTTCAAACTGGATTAAATAATTACAAGACAGATCTAGCATTAGATTAATTGGGATGAGAAGTACACGGTCTATCAGTCCATTAATATTTTCTTTTTGTCATTAAACCCTAAAACATAGGGAATCGAAAGACCACAGTGCTGTGATATATAGAAAAATATGTTCAATCCGAAAAGCATGGCCTCTTATATTTTGATGCTTTTCTGCCATGTTATTTTCCAAGAAATTAACATGGGCTGAAACTCATTAAATTACAAGAGGCCACAGGTTTATTGTACATAAAACTAATTAATCTGAAATATACAAATGTTATCCGTGTACAATATGAATAGATTTCCAAATGCAGAATACGTACTATATTACTGTAACTATAGTAACATATTGTGTACGTCTCTCCTGACGTTAATTGTTGCATTTGGAAGAAATTTGATGTGAACGAATATTATGACCAACAAGGATATAAATTGTTTACATCTCACTTAGTTTACACGGGGTCCTTTTTACAATCATTTCCTTCTACCTTCAAACTCGATCAGGCGAATTTGGACCAATTTACATTCCTGGCTGCACTACAACACACTAATATCATGGGCGTAGCAAGCTTTCGGTCGGGGGGGGGGGGGGTCGCCCATCGCACCCTCTGGCTACGCCTATGCTGACATTAATTCAATGATGCAAACATTCAAGCAATTTGAATGTGATAAATCATATCAAGATCACCTATCAGCATCATACACATTTTGTATCCGCTTTTTTAAAAATGTATTACTTACTTCAATAACATTCGTGGAAATATAATTTTAATTTCAATTTGATGCAAAGTAACTTTCATCCTTGTGCTGTTGCCATGTTATGCCATTTACATGTGTTATACGACATCAAAAGAAGTATCAATAAAACATGAATTTCTTAGATCGATAATGTATGTCTCGCTGGTGATCCGCTCGATTACGCTGGTTACCGAAACGGGTCGTTTCGGTAACAAAATGTCGGAACGTCGAAGGTACGATTTTTCTTTTTTTCCTTATTTCACGTGCTGTAGGTAGAATCCCCACGACATTAGAGAGGTTAAGCAACACTACTTTTTACAACGTACACCGCGAACGGGAAGGCGCGCGCAGGTTTTTCTCAGGATGTGACGTCATATTGTTCTACTTATTTCCCAGTTTACGTACATCCAAACGTGAAAAATAGGTAGGTCGTTCCGTAAAAGATTTTTCATACTTTATCAAGTTCGATTGAGATAAATATGATATAGGCCAAATGCATAAATATGTTTGACACAATATCGAGATCATTTGTGTCCAATCTAATCAAATATAACTTGAATTATTGAGGCACCCATTTCAAATGTAAAATCTGATGAGATTACATGCATGGCAATTATACCACATGTCAACTCATCTTAATTCGATTATACATATTGTGACACCATGGTAATAAAACTATGAATGCTTTGAAGACCTTAAAGATATTATTGCGTCCTGTTGTATTTTGCAAGATTCAAGATGTCATAGAACACTGCCAGGCTGTAAAGCATCTCCTTTGTTAACACTTTCATCAATTTGTCAATAAAGTAATATTTTTTATACTTTTAAAGTAGAAAATAAAACGAAAGGCCGCTAAGAAAAAAATCATTTTGAGGTTTGCGTTTACGTTACGCCTAAAGTGCTCAGATTAAAGCACTTTTGTTCATAATACGTAAACGGGAACGTAAAGGTTTACGTTTACGGTTCACGTCATAAAAAATCGTCTTGCTTAACCTCTCTATTTTTTCACACAAACGTTTATCAGTATCATATGTTTTAGAAAATGTACATACTTGCGAATAAATAGCTCAGAAGACAACAGAATCGTCGATTTAATTCCTCACTTGAGTTACAGTTCTAAACGATATGGGTTAAAAGTGCAGATCTTAACTGTTTTTCGAAATACCGTTTCTGTAACTTGCGTGAGGAATTAAATCGACGATCGATTCTGTTGTCTTCTGAACTATTTGTTCGCAAATATGTACATTTTCTTAAACATATGATACTGACATACGTTTGTGATACGAATATCATGGGAATTCTGCCTACAACGCATGAAATAAGGAAAAAAGACAAATCTTTTAAACCGTTTATTTCATTAACAATACACTGATTATCAGGTGATCATTTTTCAAGGTTTTATAAACATGTATTATCTGATTTCTGGGCGATGTTACTGATTTGCATCCGGTCGTAACCTTTGAAGATTTGGATAAGGTCACCCCTTGTTCTTCTATACAGTAAAGAGGGAAGTTTTAGTTGCCTCATTTTATCTTCATAGCTTAAGTCTTTCAATGGTGGTACTAGTTTTGTTGCTCTTCTTTGTACTCTTTCAATTTTGTCAATATCCATATAGGTGTGGGGGTTCCAAACACCGTCTCCATATTCAAACTGAGGCCGGACCATGGATTTATATTAGACCATAAATGTTCCAAATGAACGAAATTGGTAAAAAATTGGGATATTTCACTTGTCTCATGATTTTGCCCTTGCAATTGTTTGGCAAAGGTAAAACTTTAAATTCAAGCAAACTGGCAAAAATAATACAATTATGCAAATTTTGCAAAAGGAGGAGGGAAGTTAGCGCAACAGATTTTGGACAGTCATATGTTGGACTTTGGCCATTTTCTGAGGATTTAAGCGATTGCATATGTTCGACCCCTTCCATCCCTGCTTTTTTAATTTTTCTTGCATCAATATGTTACGTTTTGACACATAGTTAACCACTTTAAAGGAATAAGTGATTCCGTCAGGGGTTTCAAAGATACCCATTATGGGTTACCAAACTTAGCTGAAAGCAATGATTTTTCCCTATTGGAAAATAACATGGGGAATATTGTTTTCCACTTTACCTAAAAGGAATCATTTATTCCTTTTAAGGGATTAACTACCGGTATGTGTCAAAACGCAGCATATTGATGCAAGACAAATTAAAAAAGCAGGGATGGAAGGGGTTGAAAATCAGGAAAACATTTCAGAAAAAACATGTGGGTGGGTTGTTTGCATCTACCCTGTCTCAAAGTCGAAATTATTTTATCATCTCTAGAAGTGATTTTCCTGGAGGTAATGCATTCGCCTAACATATGCACCTGTTTAATTCCCCAGGAAATGGCCAAAATCAAACATATGACTGTCCAAAATCTGTTGCGCTAATTTCTCTCCTTTAAGGAAATCTGACAAAATTTAAGCAAATTAGGCAGATATTAAGCAAATTTCACCAAATTCACCGTTAGGTGGCTCCCAAATAAATTTTGCCCAAAATACTCCAACCCCCTCCAGTCAAATCCTGGTTACGTCCCTCATATAAAATAACTATGTAGGCATAAAGTTAATTAGTATAGGTGACTGCAATTTTCTGATTGGGTGTAAGAAGCGAAACCAAACTGTTTGAATGACTGTAAGAAACTTCCCCGTGTTACAGGCCCGAAGCCAGCCTTTGTTGTAATGTCAGACATTTATTTATTTAAACTTTATAAAAGTATTTGTGGTAACTACAATTATTCATTACGTAGCAATGTCTATTAGATAAATTTATTTATCATAAAACCAAACATCTTAAGAGACACTTCATAAATTTACATTTAATTTACATACCTACACATATTTATCATTGGTATTAAAAAATGAACAAACAATTAGAGAGTTTTCAATTTGACACTCAATATGAAACATGATTTGGAGCAAGTGTTTTGGATTGGGGGGAGATGGGATTTGGATTAGGATGTGATTTGGATTAATGAGACACGATTTTGTATTAGGAGACCTGATTAGGATTAGGAAGGTGAGATTTGGATTGATGGACGTGATTTGGATTAATGAGACACGATGTGTATTAGGAGACCTGATTAGGATTAGGAAGGTGAGATTTGGATTGATGGACGTGATTTGGATTAATGAGACACGATGTGTATTAGGAGACCTGATTAGGATTAGGAAGGTGAGATTTGGATTGATGGACGTGATTTGGATTAATGAGACACGACTTTGTATTAGGCAGACCTGATTAGGATTAGGAAGGTGAGATTTGGATTGATGGACGTGATTTGGATTAATGAGACACGATATGTATTAGGAGACCTGATTAGGATTAGGAAGGTGAGATTTGGATTGATGGACGTGATTTGGACTGGGGATTTGGATTAGCACTACAAAATACCTTTCCAACCGGATGAGAAATCGACAACTTTTCCATTCTTCACAATAGGAGACTCAAATCCTTGTCCCGTCACTAAACCAACTGGCCACACACCAACCCTTTTGATAGACTTCATCTGCAAATGAAAATATTTCAAATTACAAGCAGCTCATTAGTCTTGCTCCAAGACCCACTGGCGATTACATGGGGGGGGGGGGCATGGGGCACGCCCCTCTCCCTTGAGCGGGGCCAGAAAAAAATTGAAGGGCCTCAATTAGTGAGTCGTTTAGGGCATTACTTGGCCTTTTGTGCCAAATCACAAGAAATGGGCCTTAAATTTTCAAAATTTGGGCCCAGCTTTTGGATTTAATATTTTTTCTGATTTCAAATTTGCCCCCAACCTCTCCTATTAGCCAGTGAGACCCCTCCACTTTATCTACTGTATAACAGTTGTTTAAAGTAGATAAGGGGGGATCCAGGGTCTTGAAGCAAGACTATGAATATTAAAAATTTAAGATGAATAAATAATAAACAAGGCACAGACGTGAACAATATCGTACCTAAAACACAGCATTGTGGTCTTGTTGACCAAGAAAGCAAGATGGCCGCAGAAAAGTTAATCAGCTCTAGAACTTATCACTGTGTAACATATGTAAAAATTTGAACGGTTTGGCTGGAAACCTGTAGACAAGCCTCGATAGACAAGACTTTAGGACGGAAAATCTAAAATGGCAGCCTTAACATTTAACATCCCTCAAATGGTTTGGCTGTAAATCTGTAGACAAGTCTTGAAAGTGAAGATTTTAGGACGGAAATCCAAAATGGCCACCTTAGAATTTACCCAGAATGCCCCAAAACCAATCAGTTCTTGACGTTGATATGTAGAAACATCCCTGAAAATTTCAGATGAATCCCTCAAATGGTTTGGCTGTAAATCTGTAGACAAGTCTTGAAAGTGAAGATTTTAGGACAGAAAATCCAAAATGGCCACCTTAAAATTTAACCAGAATACCCAAAAACTAACCAGTTCTTGACGTTGATATGTAGAAACATCCCTGAAAATTTCAGATGAATCCCTCAAAAGGTTTGGCTGGAAACCTGTAGACAAGTCTTGAAAGTAAAGATTTTAGGACGGAAAATCCAAAATGGCCACCTTAAAATTTACCCAGAATGACCAAAAACTAATCAGTTCTTGACGTTGATATGTAGAAACATCCCTGAAAATTTCAGATGAATGCCTCGAATGGTTTGGCTGAAAACCTGTAGACAAGTCTTAAAAGTGAAGATTTTAGGACGGAAAATCCAAAATGGCCACCTTAAAATTTACCCAGAATGCCCAAAAACTAATCAGTTCTTGACTTTGATATGTAGAAACATCCCTGAAAATTTCAGATGAATCCCTCAAATGGTTTGGCTGGAAACCTGTAGACAAGCTGAAAAGTGAGAACTTTGTTTCTGATATAACCCTGTGCGCAGAGTCTAAAGACGAAACTCTCTTTTAAGAAGTGAAGTCGAACGAATGACCATAACAAGGCTTTTGTATAAATACTGCAACACCACCATGTCTTTTATTGCCGGTTTTTGAACGGTTTGTACAAAATGATATACCCTTCTAGGGAAAACGAACTGCCCTTATCACCATGTGTTTCAGTCATACCTATAATATCATTATGATACTTTTTGATTTCTTTCGTAAAATCAGCGTTTTCAAGCTTATTGGACACATTGTTTTTAATTCCTTGTACATTCCAACGTGCAACAGATAAGTGTGATTCATTATTCATGCTACAGAGTGTTTTACAAAGTTTGTCATGATCAACGATTTAGTGATATTTAATTAAGGATTTAAGCCCTGGACTTAGTGCATTGTTTGCTTAATCATACCAAGAAGGTGTTGTTTCCACAATCTTTGCATGACCGCGCATGAAATAATTCTGCTTCTAGGTACCACATGAGCTCCAATTACAGATACGAAATGGAATTTTGTATTACCCTGCCATGTTATTTCCTCCGAATCAGCCACCTGGTGGCGATTCGCGAAACTGGTAACTACCTACTCGCATCTGAGTAATTGCACATACCGATTTTATTAGCATATACATATAATATTACCGTAAATGAACTGGACTAAAATTGCAGCAACGTTTATTATGATAGGAATTCAAGTCTTTGTGGGCTGTGACAACGACTACTACATTGTTAATGTAGAAACCTGATTGAAATAATTATGAATTAGCGTTATTAATTATAAGCTATGTATCATTCAAAGTCAATACTCTTATAGTGGTTAAAATGAAGAACTTGTTGATTGTACGAAGCAATGAACTTGATGTACCGACTGAATTCTCTATCATAGTTAAGCACACAGTTCCGCACACTCAGAGCTTATATTAGTTGGCCATCTTCACAGGGCACGTGCCAAATTAAGCGTGAATTTGGTAGGTACTCTGTGATCTTGGTATGAAAAGTTTTGCTGATTTCTACCATTTTCGTTCTAAACAGCAAATATTATTTTGAGTACCAACTGCTTGTATTGCTTTTTCAATGATTATGTTCCAGATGCCAGTAGAAATAATCTTAGTTTACATCATTAGATATTCAAATTTAGTCAAAGTGATATCATATTTGAAATCTACATGTAAAATTGCATCTAAAAATGTGGTTTTGTAAAGTGATTATCAACTGAAAAGTAGATTTTCTTTGAAAATGTGACTTTTCATTCTGATACTCGTAGCATCTCTCTCTGTTGCATCCAGAAGGATAGAGATGGAGAGGGCGTGGCTTACCACGATGGTGACTTCTAGGACGGGGAGATTCTAACTAACTTTCTAATACCCTGTCATGTATCTGCCCCGAATTAGCCACCTGGTGGTTAAACTGGTAACTACCCTATCCACATCTGGGTAATAGGAGCATCGCAGCACAAGTATGACAGTTGGAACACGCTCATAATCTGCCCCAACCACTCTACTCTCCCATCAGCCATAAGTTGAAACATTCAATGTAATTTAAAACACAATGAAATATTGGCGCGAAAATGTAAATCTTTGATGAAATTCAAATGTTCACGATCAATATTTTGAAAGATCACATTCTACGGAATTTAGCATTCGTGAAATAAACGAACCGTATTCATTCAATTTACCTGTTCAAAGATGCGCAAATCATAACTATTGTCATCATCTGCGAAGTAGAATACCCCGGTGAAGTTAGCATCGAGCAACAGCTTTAGCCCCGCGTTTCTTTGAGTTATACCCTTTACTGTACTCTGCAAGGACGTATCACTGGGTATAGCGAGGAGGGTGAATTCTATATTGAGTCTGTTCAGAAGTTGGACAATGCGCCGAGATTGCGTCACGTCGTCCTCGATGACGATCCAGTGAAGATCCGCAACGTTCATAAGAGATTGCCCAAGACGCGTAAATTCCGCTATTTGTTGAGGACGGCGATACGTAGGAGTAATGGCAAATATTTTTGGAGGGGATCTAGTATTTTTCTCTCCTGGTTTATCTATATCAAGTCTCGTGACAGTTTCAGTCAATTTGTCCATTTCCTTTGCACTGAAATGTATTTGATCTTGTGTCGATGTTGACGTCGCATCTGATCGAAGAACTATTGTCCGTGTTTTTCCTTCTTTTAAAAATGAAAATAGAAAAATATATGTAAAAAGAAGCGCCGCAGAGGAAATTAACACCAAACGTCTCCAGTGATGTCGTTGTAAAGACATTATAAATATACCCTTTAGATATATTATATATATTCTTATTTATTATAAGTAACATATACTTATTTCCTCCATCGGCTTTATGACCAGCCGTTTCTGCCTTACGCTTTGTAATCTATATTCAGTCCAATATTGGATTCGTATATTTGAAACATATTACAATAAAAACATCCGTCCTAGTTTATCTTTGATATAATCTTATGTTTTTTTAATAAACATTAATGCGTCAATCTTTCTGTCTTTTGTATTTCCGATGAAACATTTCATATCAAGCTTCAATTTAGCCAGCTGCAGTCATCAGAGATACACGAGTAAGGCCGTCGCTAATACATTTACATATTAGGCCGCTATTAATGATTAAGGCCACGCCGAGTTAAATCTGCGTTTTATGGTTCTCAATAGATTATTTTTGTCTCCTCTGAAGGCGTGTTGGAAGTAAGAAAACATCTAGATAGGCAATGTGTACGAATATCACCAGGTACATATTATGTAATTCAGCCTAACGCCTGCACGATTATTTCCAAATTGCGAAATATTCTAACTTATCTGAGAAAATTCAAAAACCGACATTTTTTCAATTAGAAAATCAGCAAAGTTGCAAAATGTATTTTCGCTGAAGTTAGTAAGATGCATTTAGATGCAAATGTTAGTTAAGAAGCGATTGATTATTCATGCATAGCATTATGTATTTATTGATTATTCATGTAATAATTTATGTTTCATATGTCTGTCTGTCATCTGATGCTTGATTTACGAATGATGGCTGTATTCATTAACAAAAGAATTGCATTTTAATAAGTCACCATGTTCAGAGAAATAGATATTCACTAGTAAGGTGTTCACTTGGGACTGTGTTCACAAGAGTGAGGTGTTCACTTGGGACTGTGTTCACTAGAGTGAGGTGTTCACTGGAGACATGTTATCACCAAAGTGAGGTGTTCACTGGGGACATGAGTTAACTAGAGTGAGGTGTTCACCGGGAACAAGTGTTCACTTGAGTAAGATGTTCAATAGAGACATGTTTTGACTTAAGTGCGGTGTTCACTGGATACATGTTTTCATCAAAGTGAGGTGTTCACTGGGGACATGAGTTAACTAGAGTGAGGTGTTCACCGGGGACACGTTTTCACTTGAGTAAGATGTTCAATAGGGACATGTTTTGACTTAAGTGAGGTGTTCACTGGAGACATGTTTTCACCAAAGTGAGGTGTTCACTGGGGACATGAGTTCACTAGAGTGAGATGTTCACTGGGGACACGTTTTCACTTGAGTAAGATGTTCAATAGGGACATGTTTTGACTTAAGTGAGGTGTTCACTGGACATGTGTTCACCAGAGTGAGGTATTCACTTAAGACACCTGTTCACAAAAGTGAGTTGTTCACTGACATGTGTTCACTAGACAGAGGTGTTCTCTAAATATTAATACAATATAGAAAAACCATACATAACCTTTATAAACAACAGTGTACATATTATTATTCTTATATTAAAATCTCTACAATTAATTAGCAATTGATCATATTATCTTGGTTGGGAATCACCCTGTTCTGTATGTTGTCATGTCTGTTTATTATTAATAATGGAGTATTTACAAATAGAACTGTGAATTCGCGCCACGACTAACTAGCTTCTGGTTTCTGGTTTCTTCTGGTTTCTCGTATAACATCAAACGCATATTATAGATCATATGTCACCTTGGTAACAACAACAGTAAGAGTTAATTAATTCTGGAATAAGCGATAATAGTTTGAGTCAAAACTGCAAATAAAGCTCAATGATTTTACAAAGAATGGTTTATATCTGCGGATTATTTTGTTATCTGCGATTTTAATGTTGAACAAAGATCGTCTCCTTTCTGAATCCATCTGTATCTCCGATACAAGTTAAAACCCAGGAATCTGCAATTGCTCATCAACATCACTAAGGAAAAGCGTTGCTGAAATATCAACGAGGATGATAACAAATAATAAATTCGGATGTTTTGTATGACAAATGTGTTCTTTTAAAATCGGTTGTTTGGTTTCCCTGACTTCCCTGAATTTGATATTTTGTGATATTTAATTCAAGTAAGACTCCCACTAACATAATGCCCGGCATAATGCTAAACCAATGAATGATATTTTAGAAGGTCAAGAGAACTCTGAAGCTCTGTAATAAACGGATGAGCCAATAATTGAATCGAAATAAATGAAATCTGTGGCTCATATGAAGACATTCAACCTATTAGACGAGTAGGGATTTGCCAAAAAGTGCTTATTTAAAGAATAAAAAGGATCGACTGACCCTGTTAGGTTTCTTGGTATTTTTGGATCCTTTTTTATTTTATTTTTTGCAAATCCCTCAAGTTCTCAAACAAGAACCTCTATATCTTGCATTGGGTAAAGATGATTGTATCTCTGCGTTGGACATATATGAGAAATATTCATTTACGAGTTCTGGGGTATTTTCCTTCTCTTGATTAGCTGCAGTCCCTGCAGTAGTTCAACAAGTTAAACCCAATACCACGGCTTTCATTTATTAATCTGAGCGTTCTTGTTGCCGTGATTGGGTTTAACTTCCGTGCTATGCTTTCATTGGTTGCAAATTCTCACTATCAGTCATTAATAAAACGCGCATAGAATTCCATGCGCTGCCATAGGCCACAATTAAAATGATTTGCATCAAGGGCCGAGTAGGCACGGACGTTAAACCTTAGGCGGGCCACAAGATATATCAGATAAGAAATAAGGCCCAGACTAGGTTTAACTTGTTGAACTATCCCTGCAGAAGTTTGGAATGGCTATATTGTGTGAGACATTTACTATTTTACTTCTACACTACCTATAATTTGCTTATACACAGTCGTGTTACATGTATGTAACTTATTCTCTATGTAAAATACTTGTAGAAGCACCTATAAATTAATAATGAAAATGTGGAAAGCAATCAGCCGGAAAAAATTAACTGTTCAAATCTCGATAAAGTATGAGATTTGCGCATTTGTGCATTTTTCAATAAGAAGAAGACATGCCGAGACTATGGATCGATTACAAATACATCTGTGTTAAAATAAAATCCCAGTCTTGAAGATTGGCCAAGTATGAACCTTTAAACAAAAAGAATCTCTGAAACGTGTTTATTCTGTACTAGACGTAAAGGCAACGTGATATAGGCGGTCTATATTACTGCATGAACATATCATTGGAGACCTCTGGAATAACAATAGATAGATTCCGTTTCATCGATTCCTTACCTAACATACATAATTTTCTGATTTTATAACTTTGTGGCCATGGCCATGTCATCAGGTCATGTTTTTGTAAAAAATGCACGGACCTCTGCCAGATAAGCTCCTCTGTGTCTAGGTTCAATAAATATACTTATCCTTTGAGCCTACTACCAACAGGGGCTGGATCTGGCTCTGGATCTGTGGAAAAATGATACAAGTTTACTTCTTGAACATGATAACAATAATTTACAAACAAAATATAAAGGGTGAGCCAAAAAGGTAACCCAAACAAATGTTAATAACTCAGTCATCCAGTATGGGTTTAAGGTCATATTTTGCACGATTTAACCATCTTCAATGCTCTTACATTCTATCAATTTTCATTTGTCCATTTTACAAAACATGCTCGAAATGCCGATACATGGCAAAATCACCCAGTGTCCCAGCATGTTCCCCAAGAATGTCATCGTTTGGGGCAATTTCAAAGATAATGTCTGTATAAACGACCCTAAAAGCATCAGAGAGTTGAAACAAGTTATCATACATAGAAGGAAAACAAGAGCCATAACAAAGTTATCTGTACTGTGAGCATGCAGTCAAAACAGTCAAAACAACTTCATCCGATTCAAGTTGTTTTGTAAAATGACCATAAAACCATGACCAGTTGGAACAGCCCAATGAAACATGGAGGAATGAAAGGACATTGAACAAAGGTTCAATCGTGCAAAATATGAGTTATTAACATTTCCTTGGGTTACTTTTTTTGGCTCACCCTGTATCATAACTTATTTACCATTCATTATAATAAGAAGTATAGCTAGTCGGGTTTTCCTTGTAGCCAAAGGTCAGAGTTTTTTCTTTCAAGGTTAATTCAATCTTAAACTCTTAAAATGACATTAATCACGCTCGACAATGAAAGAACAAATGTAAACAGTCTTCTACTTGTCAAGAAATATCACATTTGTCATTTACACTGATTGTTCATCTAAGTCATTGTTCAAAAGGTTATGTACGTACAATAGTGCTGTCCTAGTGTAGTTGTAGTGCTTTAGTAGAACAACTGATTTTGAAAATATTATCAATTATCGTAAATTTGCCCACTGGCGGATCTGGGGGGAGGGCAGATGCCCAGAAAAAAATTGTGCCCAAGTCTGTATTTTAAAAGGACCAAGTGAGTATCGCGAACAGTTTGTTACCGTTTTATTTTTGACTGGGAGTATTTTTAGACAACACATTCCTAGTTTTACAAAGCCTTCAGTGCTTGCAATGTTAATTCAAATTTAAAGGCTAGTAGTATAGCCAACGTCATCAGTGGATGATCAAATGAAAAGCATTCGCGAATCAGGCCCATAGCCAGGAATTGCCAAGGGGTGGTTCACTTTTTGAAAAATTCCAGGGAGTTCACGTTTGACATTTAGTGTCCAAAAATGGCCAAAATCAATTAAAAACTGCAAGATTTTGAAGGAATTTTTGGCCAGGGGGAGGGGTACGCTCGAACCCATTGAACACCCCTGGCTACGGGCCTGCAAATATCGAACTTATTTTAAAGAAAAGTCTCCTATAGTTAGCCTTCGTTCAGTGCAATCCGCCGTGCCTCCTGGACGGTGAAGGTACGCAACGAACGAAATATAATAAATTTTGAGAATGTAAAAAGATGTCACCCTTGCAGTTTCGCTCATACTCGGTATTAGGGATAGGAGCACTCCGCACTCGTCCAGCCAGTCTGTACACGGTAACTATTGCAGAAAAATACTGTTTTGACATAATACAGGGTGACCGGGAAAAGGAAGACCATTGAAGTAGGCACCTCCTAAACTAGACAATTGACATCAATGAAATTTTGCACCCACCAGAACAGTTCTATGGAAATTTGTTCCTGAAAGTTTCAATATAACCAGTCCATTGGTTTAGGAACTGTCATCATCTACCTATGCTCCAAATGGCCGCAACTAAGCAAAAGGCAAAACTGGATTCATATGGCAAAATTGTCAATTTCCATTACCCCATTCAACCCTTATTATGGCATTACATGCATTTAGCGGTGATTGCCTTCTTAGGGTCAGCAATTGTCTGAGGATTGTTTTGGTATACATT